GCTGTTTTACTGGCGTGGATCGACGGCGTTACGAATGCGGATCGGAGAAGTGTCCATGCGACGCTCCATCCTGCGGCGGCGCCGATACCGATCTCGGCTGAGACGAAGATGGTGACCCAGAAGGCGACCATGCAGGCGATGAAGTCGGCTAGGGATATGCGCCAGTAGCGCCAGATTAGGGAGAGCGGTCCGAAGAGGTGTATTACAGCCATGATCTGTTTAGATGGAAGATGTTAGCAATGTATTTTACATGGAAGTTTCGTCTCGTTGGCAAAATTAAGGGGGGGAACTTACGATGATAGCTGCCAAGGTCGACTTGGGTAGCCAGTAGAGGGCTGGCGAGAACACGTATAGGGTCAAGATGATGAAACCTGCGGTAACGACGCCGTTCAGGGGGCTCCTGACGTGACACTCCGAGTTAACAGCTGTTCTGGATATAGCTCCGCCAACCGGCATTGCGCCAAAGAATGAGTTGACAATATTAGTAACACCGAGGTAGTTGAATTCCTGAGTCTGATCGATGGCGTAGTGGTTCCGGCGGGCGAACGCCTTGCCAACTGCCTGATGTTCGAGGGTACACGCGACTAAGGGAGCGATGGACCGAGCCGCGACCTTTGCGAGGAGGTCGGCTCCTGGGGCTTTCGGATGTTGAATTCCATGGGTATTAACTTCGCTAATGCCCCAGAGGTATTCATCACGATCTTTGTTAACGAGGTACGAGATCAGAGTGAAGATTACCACCACGATGATCGCCCTGCTGCTCGACATGTACCTGATGGCGAAGTGCTTGTTACCCCATTTCTTGCCTATCTGCTCGAGGGCTAGTAGGATAACTATGGTTCCGAAACCGATTCCGCAAGTTGGACCGTCCCAGTGTGGAAGACGTTTTAGGATGTTGCCCAACTGGTTGAAGGCGCCGTCCGGTACGTTGCTAAGTCCGACTAGGGAGCCGACTTGGCCCATGCCGATGACGAAGGCTGTTGCGGATATGAATCCGGTAAGGACGGGAATCGAAACGTAGTCGAGGAGGAATCCGAGTCCAAGAAGACCTATAAGGAGAGACCAGATGCCTACCATCATAGCAACGGCCGATGAGATGTCGGCGCTGGAGTACTCGTTTTTCAGATCGCGGATGATTTCTGCGGTTAGTAGACCTAAGATCGACGTCGGTCCCGTTGATAGATCTATGCATCTTTGTAAGTGTCTTTTCACTATAGTTGTAAGTTGGGGAACATCTCACCCTTTGATGTCCCCATGAACACCATCACGGCAGCAGGAACCCAACAAGAGTAGAGACCATTCTCAATAGGAATTGTTGCGATCTTGGCATAAGCTAGTCCTTGAGGAATAAGTAGGACTCCGATCGTGAGACCAGCCATGAAGTCCTGTAGGAGCCATGGCGGAGAGTATCGTGGCAGCCACTGGACGATAGGAAGCTTGTCGGCGAGGTACTGTTTAGCAGCCGATGGGAAGTGCCTAGGCGCAGTGCGGGCGAACTTCGCCACCCGGTTGAGGGTAACGTCCGTCCGGAACTCCTCCTTAACAGCGTTTTTGACAGCTGTAGCTTGTCTCTCCATGGTTGAGAAGAGAAGAAGGAATGAAAAGACTGGAACTCTGGGACTAATGAATTATGTCTTCAGATTAATGCGGCTGATCTTAACATAGATATTAATATAGACTTTAAACTTAAGTCTATACAAAATAAGTATCTACCTTACATTGCATTCCAATCGATACACTTCATAGGGTGGCTTCCGTAAACAGAAGGTTCCATGAAGACACTCAATCATGGAGAGAACAACGCCCTCGACTCAGAGAACCTATCACCTCCGTAGCGATCATACCCCCCTTCGGCACATTCTCGCCACTCTGTCGGTATTATAGGGACTCTCTTCGAGTATCAACCTCCTTTTCCTGCTCATGTAAACGGTAGTGCGAGGGAGCACAGCATCAGTCACACTTCGTAGACCACGCGGGGGCCCAGGGTACGACCCGGGCTTCAGGGGGAAGCAAAGGAGTCTCCCGTCTTTACTGCTATGTAAACGACTCTCGCACAGGGGAATCTGAGATACAGGATTGGGCGCCATTTCGTGGCTAAATGCAACTGTATGCCAGTGTTAATAGTCGATCATAACTCTGGGTGACAGTGCCGTCTAGGAAGTGATATAGAGAGACGCGGGGTAGTTGACTGTATGTGGGACGTTGGAGCATGTATACCTTGGAACGGGGTGTCTTCTAAAATAGAAACAGAAGATTCGTGATCTAGTACCTATCTTGGGTCGTTCAGCGAACCAATCAGTGCCAAGAAATGTTGTTCGTCCAGCGGTTAACATCGCCGTCACGCAGCTGTTTTGTGATTATAACGGAATTATAACATATGAATGGACTCATCTTCGGTGGAACTTCACCGCGGGCTTTGACGGTTCCTTGTACTGCATCTAGAAATAGCAGATCTGGGGTATAATTATCTTCTACCTGGTTACTATGCTGACAGTGCCCCTTATGCATCCAGGTACTTATCTACCGTAGTAGCAATGTAAGATAACTCGGTTTAATTCCGCAGATATAGTATGCACATCTCGATCAACTCTATACGAATATAAAGCGGTGATCTATAGTCTTGATTAGATCTCTTGGCATTCTATAAGTTTCAAAAAGCATTCCGAGTCCTTGGATCGCGGTCGCGATAGTACATAGGCCAAGGCCCAAGGATTGACATGCTTGTAGTCACGCTTCGCAATGCGATTGCGTGGTACCTAGCTAACCATACATACTGCCTAGAGTCCAAGACTCTTGGACCGCGTCCGCAGGAAACAAACGGGTCACTTAATACGTTGTCGTATAACCGGGGTGTATTTCTACTGCCGGAGATTTTAGTTCGACGATGCGGCCAAGCACCGTTGAACAGCGCCACGGGTTCTAAAGTTTCCCCTCTCGGTTAAGCTACAAGGGTAAGAGAAAGCTTGACACGTACCAAGCTTTGGGTGTAACGGTCACATTGCATGGACAAGACCTTGGTTATGCGGCATGTTCTTAATGCCAAGTGAAAGGCGTACTAACCTCTATCAATTCCATCACAATTAGACTGATTCTTTTCTTTCCTACCTCCTGCGAAAGTGATATCTCTATTCAAGATTTTAAAATAGAAATAAACCTCGTGCAAAGGTGAAATATCGACGGTCCTAGTTCGGGGTATGAGCGGCAAGGATTTTGATAGGTTGGTGAGCATCAATTGCGACACGGCTACCCTTACTTACATACCCGCCCCTACTGGATATCGCAGTTACTTTCCTAACTGGTAGATAGTATAAACCGGTATGCTGGCGTAACACGGGGGGCACAACGGAACGAGATATGATTGAACGGTTCGTACTGCTACAGTTGGTGCCGTAATCCGGAATTCGTAAGCTCCTTTCGGGGGTTATTGCCAATTTAATGCTACCCCCGTGGGGTTCCCAAGTTATTTGAGAAGATTAGGTACGCGAGGCGAGATCTCAAAGGTAGCTTGATTCTTATTGATCCGAACTAGGACAACGTTGCGATTGGATATCTTCCTGGTTGTTGCTCAGTACGTAACCCTACTGCGGAAGAGACAACATATTAGTAATAGAAGCTGCCTTGTCCTTTCAGAGAGCAGACTATAACATAGTTTAACATAATATTCCTCTCATAGTGTAGTGACGACGAGGTCGTTTGTGTTTAAGGCCTATACTCTTACCGTGTAAGTAGACTATATACAGGCGCATGAATCCTTCTTATGTTGTGTTACGAGACCCCTTGGACTGTTACGAAACGAATAACGTGCTTCTCTATGTTTATATGCACGAAAGGTCATGGCTATTAATCCTTCTCAGAGCTAAAGCCGTGTGGAAACTAAACCTAGGACATATGCTTAGACGAAAACATTAGCGTGGAGCCCATGAGCCCCCAGACTCCCCACAGCGGACCAGGAAACCGCCTTGCCGTGCTTCCGCAGCCTTAGTCTCGATCTTTGAAATAGGGAGGCTCTCAAATTTGCTTCATCTCGGGATTAGCGGCATGGTCAGCTGGACATTTCTCGGCGGTATAAGGTGTTTCGCTAGTCTAACATTACAGGAGGCATCTACACAGTGAGCTTGGAAGGTTTTGCATGGTAACCGTGTCGCCTCAATACTGGAATCATGATTCTAGGAATTACATGCACAATGCCGTGTGTATTCCGAGCTCTGAGCAGGCGAAAGCCGACCTGCCGAACGCGATCCTAGGTAGGAAGGCAGTTTCAAATCAAAGAGAAAGCGAGACGGCTATCTAGAGGTTCTGTTAAGATGGCTTCATTATTTTATTCCGAGTGGCTAATTACAATGCGTGTTATGGTCGGCGATTATATGTACTTGGTAATTCTATACTCCGTGTTCCCTACCACTTTACAGATCCCACGCAGGACATCGCCTCGTCTCGGTATTCGGTGGCTTTACAACGTCCCTTTTTCGGCAAAGAAATGATAAACTACAGTGGTGTAAACAAGGATCTCGCATAATAAGCCGAATAGCTTGGTCAGAGGCGTTCGTCCTATCAATATGCCCCCAAATGTTGAGTTGGCCATTTTCCGGTAGGTGCAGGTTGACGAGGAAGTTCACAATAATGTGCTACACGCAGGGGAATTAACAAAATACTAGATCTGGGCACCTATACAGAAATATGACCTAGAAATGTGAATATCGTGGGCGGAAATTTCCACCACGGAAGACTTGAGATTTCTATAGCCGTAATTGAAAAATGTACCCATTTGTTGTCGATATTTTAGGTTGACGACGAGAGATTCTTAAAAGTATCTTGAATTAATTGAATTTCTGTATAGACGCATAATGCTTGCTCTATTAATCATAGCTAACTAATAGATGTCTTTTTCCATTTTACAAGTAGAATCTAACGCTAGTTTATAACTAACTACCTGTTAACTACTCTGTTAGTGGTTAAGATGTTTTGGTATGTATAACGTGTTAAAATAAGGGAATACGATGCTTTCAGCGCATTATTTTCTAATATCGCTAAATATTCAAGCTAACTAATACTAATAAATATCTGAGAAATAATACAGGTGGTTTGGAATACAGAATAACCTTGTAGAACTGATCATTAGACGTCGAGACTAAACATTGAAAGCAAATTTACAACTCGCGTTCTTCCGGCATTACTTGATTGTCAGAACCAGGAAGAGTAACTTCATCCTTCTCTGCGCTCTTGATCCTGTTCCAGAAGATTTCACCGTTCTCTGGGTCGTCCTTGAATAAATGATCGACGACCATCTTCTTAGGTGTCTCGCCCAGCCACTGGAAGAGAGAGAAGTCTCTAAATTCATCCGCACGGAAAACCTCTAGCATCTCGATAGGCTCGTCACCGATGTTCTCGACGAAATGACCATTGTTTGCGGGCACGATGCCGACGTCGCCCTGTACATAATCGAAGGTTCGAGCCGTTCCCTCGGCGGCGAAGACAGTAACTCGTGCTCGACCTTTAATAAAGAAGCTCCACTCGTCAGCGTTGGGATGCCAGTGCATCTCGCGTATGGCGCCGGGCTCGATAGTGACGTGGGCTGCTGCCACGGTTTTTGAAATCTCAAAGTTCTTCGAATCTGTAATCCGGACATCACCACCACTAGTTTTATGGGGTTCCTGATCAAGCATCCTATGAACGAAGTTGTACTTGGATTTCTTGACATTTTTACCTGTGGGCTTCTCATCGTCGATTGAACCTGGCTCACGGCCCTGGAAAATGTACTTCTCTCCTTCGGGGAGGTGCTTGAACACTTCGGGTGCCAGGTTGAAATTCTTCGAGATCACCGACTTGGGAGTATGCGCTTGTAACATATTAACTTTAAGAATCTACACGATAGGATTGCAATACACACCTAACCAGTCAGATATAATGAAGGTAGATTCCTCAGAGAAGTTTCCATCGTCAAAGATCAAGAGGAATTCTGTACCGTTGTCGCCGAGTCCTTGAAGGGAATGGGGTACGCCGCTTGGGAAATACCACAGGTCGCCTCTCTTGAGGTCGTCTATGAAGTTGCCACCTTCGTAGTCGATAGCAGTGACACGAACTTCGCCATCTAGGACGAATGCCCATTCGGCTTCTTTATGCCAGTGCAACTCGCGGATTACACCCTTGTCAAGGCGCATGTTCACAGCAGCCAGTTCGACACTAGCGCCTAGTTCGCGGACGGTGGTTTGCCTTGTCCACCCCCCTTCCTAGATAGAACTTGGTTAGGTCGAACGCGGGGAAAGCTATATTGGAACCTTATTCATACCTCAATGCGTATATGAGAATCAGCAAAACTCCAGCGCAGATTTTGTATATTTCCGTGATCCGTACTAGGCGGTCGCACTAAATCCGGAGACTGACGTGACCTCTCTCGGTTCCAGGGACCGAGAACAGACGCTCCTAGTCCATTGCGGTAGGGGAGCGGATCTAACTTTTCGCCTATAGCATCGACGGCATGGTCATAGGGATCCCTGTAGTCGGGAGTATAAGGTGGCTTTGGCCTTTTGCTATATTTCGGCGGTAGATCAAGACCAGCTGCGAGATACCGGCGAGGGCTGTCGTCTACGGGAACAGCGAGGCCGGAATTGCTCAATGCGAGGCCAGTGACTAATAACTGCCATGTAGAAATACCGCGATAGCTTCGGGTCTGCATTTTAAACAATGGCCGGTTGACTTGTAAGTCGTTGATCAATTAGTTAACGAAGCTAATATCTAGAAATCAGCTAAGAGGCAACTGAATCTCGGCTGAAGTTAGGTATGAAGATAGCAGAATAGAAGAGGGCAAATAAAGTATAAGTAAAAGTAAATGGGATGAGCGTCATAGTTGAGCAATCTCCTTGGAGAGCTTCGTTACCCATTCAAGCTTCAAGGTCTCACTTACACTAAGCTACGTAACACAGGTACCTGGTAAATCTACCACCCGGTTGCAGACGGGGGTCAACGCCGAGCAAATACCGAATGTACTCCAGCGCATTCCAGCTCGGCTCTAGAACGTCCTATAGGGCCTTTACAAGGCAAGCGCTGAGCCATGGGTGTGATTGTGCCTGCATTCCGGGATATACTACTATGTCCGTGGTACCTAGGTACATACTAAAGTTGGTTGTATTAGGTAACTATACCTACCTATCGAATTAAGGTAGGTATGGAGAGGTGGGTACTTAGGTGCCGTAAGCCGATAAAGAATGGACTAAACATGAATCACCATCATTACGTCCAAAAAAAAAAAAAGCGGTTTTGTTGCTGACGAAACTTATAACCTTACAAGTTTACAAATTACAATATGCACCTTCTCGCTTACACGGCCCAAGATCTAGGGTCGTTTTACACACGGGTGATTGCAGCTACATATCTGGTAAGGTACCTGGGCAGTGAAACTACACCGAACACTGCCTAGTGTTGCTCTATATATTCTATATTCCTGCCTATCTGGGATTCACAGCCCGACATCGTCCTCAACTTGCCCCTGTCAAATAACCGTTGAGCCGTTGAGTATCAACCTTGGCAAGGAGTACTATGTTAGAGGATGGGAGGTAACTTTGGCGTTTTCTATGACGTTAGGGGATCTCCCTAAAATAGTTCAATTGGTGTCACACGGACATTCGATGCACACAGCCCGGGACGGGGACGCGGCAACCCTCATTTCCATCTTGGAGGCAGCAAACGCCTCGAATATTTAACTCATCCAATCTTATTATTTACTTTACGCACGTCCCTAGGTTCTTAGGAGCAAGTCATATCTCGTAAAATATATACTTGGATTGTGTTCTGTTATAGACACTCGGATCGACTCCCAGATGGCCACCAATGGTAATAACACACTGCCTACCAACTCGAGGATAAATGGAAATGGCGATGAGGAGCGGCAGCCTCTCCTTAACAGTAGTTATGTGACGTTCAAATCAGCGAGATGGCGAAAGAGCTTGACGACGGACGTTCGCCGCGACTGGGCCGACCTAGTCCTGCTCGCCTGCTATATCATTACTGGCATGCTTGATAGCGCATCGATATCCACCTGGGGTTCGTTCGTGTCGATGCAGACAGGTTTGTTACTTATCACCTCCATGAGCACTACTACTAGGTCTTGCTAAAAGACTATCTACCTAGGAAACACGGTGTATTTTGGCCTCGGCATTGCCGCACCGCACGAGTCGACGCGGTGGATCAAGTCGGGGACCTCACTCGGCTGCTTCTGCATCGGGTCCGTCTTCTTTAGCTCCTTCCACCGGATGCTATCGCCGTCGCCTAAGCGGCGTTGGGTGCTCTGCGCGTCCTTCACCATCCAGATGCTGTTTGTTGCCGGTGCTGCGGCGATTCTTACCTTCGGGCCCCAGTCCGACCGTGAGTCTAAGAAGGAGGCCATCGACTGGCCAGTGCTTGTCCCAATTGCCCTGATCGCTTTTCAAAGCTGTGGTCAGGCGGTCGCCAGTCGTGCGCTCAAGTACAACGCGCTTACTAGCGTTGTCCTGACCAGCATTTACTGCGACTTGTTCTCCGATGCTGCGCTGCTCGCGCCGCATAATCCTGAGCGCAACCGTAGAGTCGGCGCCCCTGTTTTGCTTCTCATCGGTGCTGTGCTTGGTGGGCTACTGGCTAGGAGCACAGTTGGTACTGCCGGTGTACTTTGGATTGCTGCGGCTTTGAAGCTGCTTGTCGTTGTGTCGTGGCTACTATGGCCAGCGGAGAAGGAATAACAGTCGCGCATGCATGATATTCCTAGATACACGTCGTAAAGACTTAGATATAGACTGCGAGATTTGTTAGTAAATGCTTCCGAACTGTTGGGTAATGCATATTTTCAATCTGTCACCTAGATGGGCGAATAAATAGGTAGATAAACATCAATAGATTCGGCTTCTAAATTCAACAGCGCTTAATTGAGACCGATTGATTATACCAGTAGTTAAAATGGTGATAACTTAGAAATGTCCATATATGCGGAATCTATCTGCGGGTAGCATCTTGATCTATTGAACCTTGTTGGAGCATCCTCACTGGTTGTGGTGGTTTCTTCTCAATCTTGCCAACAATGCCAGTGCCGCGGAAATACACAGTGACAACAACTGCGCAGCATAGTGCGAGTGCGAAGTTGAACCAAATGCCAGCTCTTAGCCCGGCTAAAGATGCGGGTTCCCAGGGCAAGATCTTGCCTGAGGCTTCTACTGGAACTCCCCTGTCCCTTGCCATAACGGCAGTTTGAATAGCCGTAGTGATGGCTAACCCAATAGCTCTTCCGATTTGGCCCATCGAATTGATAAGTGCGCCTCCTAACGCCTGGTCGTCCTGGGGTAAGGATTTTGAGGTAAACAAAGTCAGGGTTGGCCAAGTAATATCAGCACCAATTACCGAGAGGATAAAAGCCGGAAAGCCGTACGCAAAGTAAGACGTGTCAGGTGGAATTGGTATCGAAAATAATAAGCAAGACACAGACACGCTTAGATTACCGAAAAGGAGCAGCATCCAAGTAGGTATTCGTGAAATGAGGTGGCTCACGACGAATGCGGTGATGACCCCAGAGGCGCCGGTTGGGATAAATCGATAGGTTGTCTGCAACGCACCAAGGGCCTGGTAGTCCTGGAAGATAAATGTGGCGGAGACGATGAGATCGTTGAAGGCAGCGAAGAATAGAGCCATTATCACCATGGCGGCACTAAATCGAGCGTTCTTGAACATAGACACCTTCATGAGCGGCTTGCTTGTCATATGCTTTTCTTGATACCACTGCCATGCGACGAAGATACCAAGAAGCAACACGGAAATAACAATTAGCATGTAGATCCAGATAGTATTCCAGCCGACTATATTGCCTTCCGTTAAGGCAAACAGCAATGCTAGGATCGAAACGGTGACGAGTGCACCACCTATCCAATCTACAGATTTCAGCGATGCGAAACTGGATTTCTTAGTCGTTAGATGTTGTGGCGGCGGAGGTATGAATACTATACCCGCAAGCGTGACAGCAATTGCGAGTCCACCGGTGGCCCCGAATACCCATCGCCAGTTAGCAAACGCGGCAATGAAGCCACTAATCAGGTTTCCAAAGACGCTGCCAAGGGGTGCGCCAGCAGCTAAGCAAGATATCAACAATAAATTCATAGTATTATTTGAACTGGAGATGACCTACCGTATGCGCTAAAAGCATAATTCTTCGCCTTGCCAGGTGGAAAAGTCACGCCTAGGATCCCAATAGCTGTAGGGACATTGGCGGCAGCGCCCTGAGGATTCGTAAGTTATGCTGGACTGTTCTGGATATCATACCGTATACTTACAAGTCCCTGTAAGCCCCGAAACAGGTTAAATCCTATTTCATCTGGTATGAATGGATTAATGATCATCGTCACTGCTACGAAGGCACTCCCCAAGATGAAGATGGAGCGTTTGCCGTATATGTCCGCTATGCGACCCCACAGGAGCAAGAAACATCCGAACGTGAGCGCATAAGAGGACACAATCCATTGCAATCTGCTTTCGGGAATGTTTAAATCCTCGCCAATTGTTGGTAGAATAATGACAACCGACTGGATCGAGAGAGTCTAGACTTAATTAGCTAAGATACATCATAGGCTTTAATGGCGATGCTACCTACGTTCAAGAAGCTAGCGCCGGTGACCGTTGCGACCAATGCAATACATCTCGCCTTAGAAAATGGCAAGCCCGGTTTAGTCGTGCCGTCGTCTTCCTCGGGTCCGCTTTCTACAGCCTGGCGCGACGGTGGTGAGTCTTCCATCTCGATAATATCGAAATCCTGCCGTCCTTTCTCTTTTTCCTCGGTGTTCTCAACCTCCGCTATAGGGTTCTGGCCAATCTCCAAGTCCTTTGCCATCTTTGCGGAGGCAATAATAGCAGTCTTCGCAGCAATCCGGCCGAAATCCCACGGACGAAATTAGTAGGACGACCCCCGGGCCGGGTCGTGTTCATTCATATACGTCTGCAGGTGTTCTGCAGGTGTTCCGCCATCGCGTGCGGGTGAGATGCAATGCCATCAGGACTGCAGATTCCGTGAAAATTAGACAGACAACTCGGGACGGCTTTTCCGAAACTAGCAATACCAAAACCTGGGGATCATAGCATGTCCCCTTACTCGACCAATCAACACTGGGTATCATTAGAGCAATCCCCCAGTTTGGGAAGAACGGCGTGCTGCAGGGCCCTCGCCGCCCTTCTTCCGGGACCCGGTATCGGTTCCCCAGGGGGCTACGTTTCCCCGTACAAACGGTAAATTTGCTGATTTGCTAACCATAGCTTTTGCTAGACGGCTGTCTTGTTAGATTGTTTGCATGCCAAGATCGAACTTGGCTAGAAAAGAAAAGAAACGATCGCCGTTTAGCTTTTCAAGGTAATGATGTTTTATGGTGTATTGTATTACGTAAACAGAAGCCTGCCCAATGATCAGTCAAGATTCAATAATTATTACAAGTCAAATACTCATATCCCCTAATCAGTATTTACGTTCACTTTACATGTGGAATATAATAATTCTCAGGAATTTATTTATCTCTAAAAGAAATCTAATTTGTGCAGCCAATGTGCCAAGTAACGATGACGTTAAATTCGACCTGGCATTTGTTAAGTCTAATAATTGTAAGTTGTGTAAGAGGGATATTTCACTAGCTAGTTATCGCATTTGTATGAGTTCTTCTACTCACATCTAATATATGGCCATTTAATTTCTAGTATACTAAGTTGGTCCAAGTTCATGTGCAATGAGGGTTCATTTCGAAAGCATACATTCGAGTATTTTCGATGATTTAGGCTACCATCAATTGTCGATTATCGACCAGCCACCTTAAATATAAACTTCCCAGACTCGATTCTTCCTCTCCAATTTTGTATGCATCTAAGCAAACTAATTGCCCCCATTGATACATGTAGAATTCTAACTTAGAGTCAAATTAAAATAAAAATGATTCACAACTAAACATTTCTACAGAATCGAAGCATCTCTCAAAAAGACCTTTAAGTATGTCATTGACAAGAGAAATTGATGCTCTCGTCAGAAGGACATGTATGATTTACTACATGTATGTAGTACTTAGGTACTTACCTACCTAAGTACCTAACATGGTAGCTGCCTCTAATAGATCTTCAGCCGTTCCACAAACGGCGCTGCTGCCTTGGGAAGTCACGTTAAGACGCGCTATTGTGGCATCAATTAGCATCCATCTTTCCTTGCTCGGCGTCGGTTGCCTGGAGAGAAAGTGCCACTGGGCGCGCTCATTGTCAATATTTATTCGACCTCAATTGCTCCCAACTTCCTTTCATTTCTCTCTCACAAACTCTCACAGACTCTCACAGACTCTCACACTATCCTCGAAAAACTTACATCTCTCCATTCTTGTCTCATCATTCAATTCAATATTAATCACTTCATCGAACCTAATTATCGCATCGGGTGTTTTGCCAACGAGAATAAAAGCATAGCCCCTATAAACCCTATAAAGGCTAAAGAATGCCACCTAGAAAGAAGGCCGCAGCAGCTAAACTACCTCCGCCACCACCATTGGAAGGCTGCAGTATAGCTATTAGTGGTACAATACCCGGCCACACCCAAGCCGCCATCGAGCGAGACTTTATCAATGTTCTTGGTGCATCTCTAGCCAAGTCTGTTACGGCAACCACTACACACCTTATCAGTACTGATTCAGACTACAACAAGCCTTCTATAAAGGTTAAAGCTGCGCAGTCTCTTGACGTACCCATTGTCACCTTCCAATGGCTTGAGGACTCCCTCAACCAAACAGCTCGTATGGCTGAGAGCTCATATGGCATTGGTTCCTCTCAGTCACAATTACTACCCCAGCCTCAATCTCAGCCGCAATCTCAGTCGCAATCTCTACCTATACAGACCCGTGGCACCAGAAAGCGATCGGCGGCACAGAAACTTACACCTGAAGAAGAAGAAGAAGATAACGATAAGCAGGAGGTAAAACCTCAAGCCAAAAAGAAGGCCAGGACTTCGAAGACCGAAGCACAGAGCCAAGAAGACAAAGACCTCAAGGCTGAGGAAAAAAAGGTCATTGTTGCTGATGGTCAGATTGCTAAATCTCGAGACGTCAGAATCCCTCTTGACGAGGGCGCTGACCGCCAGTACAATAATTATGAGGTCTATATCGATGACGACGGTGTCATTTTTGATGCCTCGCTCAACCAGGCCAACTCGACAGCCAACAACAATAAATTCTACCGTGTTCAGGTGAAATCCCGTTTCGTATATTTGAATGAATTGGGCGATGTACTGACAGTTTCCCCTAGTTGCTTCGGTCTATCAAGGATCGTTTCATATGCTGGACTCGTTGGGGCCGAGTAGGTGAACATGGCCAATCCAAAGCCGTCGGTGATGGAACACTTGACAGCGCTCTTCGTGAATTCAACAATAAATTTAAGTCGAAGACTGGTCTTTCATGGGTCAACCGCGGGGAGCATCCAAGATCTGGGAAATACGCTTTCATTGAGAAAAGCGTAAGTATTCTTCAATGCTACTTATTATCTGTCTTAGTTCTTGATTGGGATCAACTAAGTATGATTAAGCTGGCGAGGAATTATGAATCTAGAGAAACCCTACCCTACCGATCCTTAACGTGTTTCTCTAGCAAGCTCCCTTTGCAAAAGCAATTGCTAACTCAAAGTCCTTTAGTATGAACCAGACTCAGAAGATGAAGATGATACGAAAGACACGAAAGGTGGTACTATTAAAATTGAGGATGACGAGGAGCCCGAATCAAAACTATCTAAGCCGGTTCAGGAGTTGATGCAGCTCATTTTCAATCAGCAGTACTTCGCAGCGACCATGCGCGACCTTAATTACGATGCTGTGAAGCTACCTCTAGGAAAACTCAGCAAAACCACAATTTCTCGAGGTTTTCAAGCCTTGAAGGATCTCTCGGCCCTCATACAAAACCCAGCATTAGCAACTTCTCAGCATCAGACTAACTACATTTCGGCAACAGAGCAACTTTCGAATTTGTACTTCACTTTGATTCCGCATGCGTTTGGAAGGAATAAGCCTCCCGTTATTCGAGATACGACACTGCTCAAAAGAGAAATAGAACTTCTCGAGAGCTTGTCGGATATGAAGGACGCATCGCTACTCATGAAGAATGAGCAGAAAGAAGAGATCAATAAGCTTGACCAACAGTTCCAGAGCTTAGGAATGAATGAGATGACTCCGCTTGATCAGGAGAGCCCAGAGTTCACCCAGTTGGTGGACTACTTGGTGGATACACGAGGAGCAACTCACAGCGCTAACTACCAGGTATCGCAAATTTTCAGAGTCGAGCGCAGCGGCGAAAAAGATCGCTTAGAAGCCGTACATGAGACATACCAAGACAGACGACTTTTGTGGCACGGCTCTCGCTGCACCAATTTTGGTGGTATCCTCTCACAGGGATTACGTATCGCGCCTCCCGAGGCTCCGGTTACAGGTTACAGGTATGTAACCATATTACACATTGACATCTCATTTCTTTCCTCGGACTCGCGTTGCTACCTCAATGTTCATGTTAATGAAGCTAACATATTCGCAGTATGTTATCGTATTTTCCTCCATTGATAAACAAATCACATTGCTCGTAATGATGTTTTAGGTCGTATATATGATGTTAACGTATGACAGTGTTCGGAAAGGGCATCTACTTGGCGGATATGTCCAGCAAGGTGAGTATTCTGACTCTAGTTTGTGAAGCTCAACATTGACCTCTCACACAGTCTGCCAACTACTGCTACCCATCGATCAGCAACGGACATGCGCTGCTTCTTCTTTGCGAAGCAGAACTTGGTGACCCTATGCAGACACTCACCGGCGCCTCGTATAGCGCTGCCGAAGATGCTAAGTCGAAAGGAATGTTATCAACTTGGGGCCAGGGATCCACAGGCCCGAGCCAATGGAAAGATGCCGAATGCATTCACCCATCGTTAAAGGGAGTGAAAATGGTAGGAATAATCTAATCCCGATCTTGACGCTTTATCTATTTTGATGCTAACTAGCCTCTCTCCCTAGCCCGATACAAACGTGAAACCTGGTGCCACCGGCGTTCCTAATGCCCATCTTCTTTACAATGAGTATATCTGCTACGATATCTCCCAAGTCCGCTTGCGATACCTCCTTCGGGTCAGAATGTAGAACCCTCAGACCTAGTGGTAATTGTGCTCGGGATCGTCGTAATTGCTGAAGGTATCTGTATGAATGATTTTTGCTACTACATCCATCTACCCGATCTATGCTCAACTCCTTTGCTTTTAGGGTTATATATTAGCTTAGCTATGTGGCTCCAGGTGGTGTTACTAGAGCAAGTACTATCAACGGCTGATTTAAAATGCGATGAGTTTTGAAAGGGGATATGGTCGGCTTCGCCCGGGGAGATATGAATGAATGATCCTTTATAGCCCTCAGATACTAATTGATGCTTAAATATAGACTTAACAGATTCCTCATGTGATTATATGCAATCTTAGAGAAGATTCTAACAGAGCCTACTAAAGTTAATTAATTAATAGAAAAGAATCATTTGCTTTGAGTACCTAACTATTGATAATATATTCTTATCTTGTGGTTTAACGTCCAAAATGACTTGTTGGTGCCTTAGTTAGAAGTCACTGGTAATAATAGGTATTCTTGGAGAGCATCCAATTAACCAACCTCCGAAAGTAACACCGTAAGCATATAAGTCTTAGTTAAAGATTTTTTTTTTAGATATAGTAAACGCTATCTAGGACAAGCTCACTACGCAACGAAATACGTATGCCCGTATCGCGATTATTCCTGTCTGTAATCTGATTCCTTAGTGAGATATCAAGTAGAGAAAGCTCTGGCTCAGACATGCCTTTAAGACGTCATTGTCGGTGATAGGCCAATATTCCAAATCCCAAGGTGGTTACTGCGAATGCAGAAACACACACGATGAGATTTGAACTGGGAACCAACTCGGAAGTATCTGATGTAATCATCATCACCAGAGCATCTAACTCTACTCGCTTCTTATATCAATGGCTGACAGGACTATACAAGTTCAGTAATCGCTGCGGTGCCTCGGCGCTTGCCGTTGCGGCTTTCGATATTTGCTGTCCTTGAGCCGAATTGAATCTGCCATGTTATTTATTAGCATGCTTTCACGCTGGCTCCTTGGATGTTATCATACCGCTCTTTTCTTTTCCCTGGCAATTACGGATAGACCGAGCTTATCGGCCATGAGCCTCAATACTCGTTTGGCAGGGTCGATAACGGCTGGATGAAACTGGTTCTGGAAGTCACATTTCTCCCACACTGGGGTGCTGATAGCAAACCTGACAAGTTCCTCGTCCAAGAAAGGATGGCGAATCTCCTTACCCCAGTGGGCCATGGCTCGGTCGTCGCGGCCTAGATTTCTCTGTCCGATACGACCTATGTCGAGCTTTAGTTCGTCAAGGAGACGGGGGTATCCACCAGCCTTGAACGTTATCTCGTGCCGTGAATAACCACCGAAGAGTTCATCTGCGCCGAGACCAGACAGCAGGACTCTAGCGGGAGAGGTTACGCTTGGCGGATCCGGCTGCCATTCGCACTTGTCTGTGTAGACGTAGCCTATACCTCGTGCAGAAAAGTAAAGTGCGAGAGCAATGGACAAGTCCATCTCGGTGCTATGCGGATACATGAGAGAAACGACTCTTGCCTTATGACTCATTGCTTCCTCAAATGAAACATTCACCTATTAGGGAGGTTAGTTTAATATCTAACCCTGAGCAAAGTGACGCGAAAACGAACCGCAAGGAAGCGCCAGTAGCGTGTAGGGCAGGTGGTTTTCAGTTCGGCAAACGCTTTGCGGCCAGTCTTCCTATCCGGACATGCCTCATATATGTCCCTTACATCTAGATGAGGCAGTGTCTTATCCACGGAGACCCGGCGCGGGTTTTCGAAGGCAACGTTGATTAGATCTATTCCCTGATCGGGAGGGACCAAGTCGTGAGCAAGCCTCGCAAGGGCGGTACTATCGAGACCGCCAGAGAAAAGAACCGCGACGCGAACGTCGGTGTCAGATAGCGGGTTTGGTGGCTCTGGAATATCTAAGACCCGCAGCTTGAGAGATTCGCACAGCCAGTGTCTAAGCAGATCAACTGAGAAGGAGCCAAAGTCCAGCTTGTGATCGGGTGGCGGTAGCGTCATGTTGAAGTTGCCAATGCTTGAAACCTGTCATGAAAATTTTATAGCAAAGATCGCACACGCAGTTTCAGATTCCGGATCAACACTTACCATGTTATCCCCTCCTGATGTCACCCAGTCGTACCTGGTGAGATGAGTATCAAGCTTCATTCCACTAGGCGTCGCAAGACGTGTAGCGAGGTTCAAGGAATATATCCCATCTGCATTAACCTCTTTCCAGCCAGTAGTAGGCACATCCGCGATGCTCGAGAAAGAAATCGAGTTACCATCCTCGGCTTGGTTAAATAGGAGTGATCGTCGGCCAAGACGATCTCGACCGAAGTAAAGGCGCTTATCTTGAGTATCATAAAACAAAAAGGCAAATGGACCATCAATGCTGCGCAGAACGCTTAGAATATGTGACTCTCGGGCCTCAGCCGAAGGTGCATCGGCGGCGTCAAGCTTGGATAAGATAAGTTCGCCATCGTTTTTACTACTGATGGGCTGGCCCTCAATCCTCCAAGCCTCTCCATTCCAGCACAAAACAGAGCCGGTTGTAGGTGATTCCAACGGCTGTTTTGCAATATGGTCTCCCCGTAAGGCTAGCACAGTAGAGGTGAGATTGAGATGGATTAGCGAATTCCCATTTTCAAAGGGAAGCTCGCGAGAGACCTGGCCGAAGTGGTCGGGTCCACGATTTGACAAGAGGTTCTTCAACTCTTGGGAAATGTCCGGTATGGCAGTCGTGGAGACTACACCATGGATGCCACACATGTTTTCAATGTCCAAGGCAATTTCAGAGGGTGCCGAGGAGAAGATCCTATCAAAATCGAGGCAACAGTCTAAAGGAATAATAAGGTAATCCTATCACTTTCGCGTCGTGTTTTGTCTTAGCACAGCCACATGACGCCACTTATCCAAGAGCTTAACTCGTGTTAGATAAGGTGCGTGAATTTGTAAGGAAATTTTTCATTTCCTCCTGGCAAAAGAAAATGGAAAATTAGTTGTAAAATGTACAAATGTACAAATGTACGGGTCTGGATGAATGGCGTAAAAAGTAGTGCGAGAAAGAAAATTTAAAAGAGATAAAAAGAAAGATGGAAAGAACTGACCATATTTGCAAAAGTGCAAAAAGAGAAAGAACGAGATAGCACCTCTCCGTTTCGATCGGAGGACCTCCGGGTTATGAGCCCGGCGCGCTTCCACTGCGCCAAGGTGCTTTTTAGAATCTCGTGGTCGGCTACGACCATTGGTTGATAAGGAGACCTGATTTAATGCTATATAACCAAAGCATGCAGCGCTAGGTGGAATACATAGTACTAATCTAATGATGGAGCCGACCAAGTTTTATGCGGCTCTCGGGCTTTTTAGCACCACCACCAGCCTAGGTTAAAAACTTGACTTGCGCAAGCGCCTCCCAACTTCTCCACTCTATCAATGTAAATGGACAATAAATTTGAAAAGATCGGACGGAAACAATACTCGTATATACCTACTTAGGCAGTACCCAAGCATTATAGAAGATACAAATGCATATGCAGCTGTCGTACTTCGTAGTTAATGCTGCTCTTGTTCATTATTATCCCGAAATTCAACCATCTATCGATAAGCATATAAGTCCTCAGTTCATGAGTCTACCTATACATTTTGAGGCAGAAGACTACCCAACTGTATTATATATAACTACGAGAAACTACTCATACAGGCAAGACGGGAAGATGGAAGCTAACGTGGGTATAACATGGGTCTAAGTAAGATTTAATAAGATTCATTTAAAATGCTACCTATCGGTGTGTCCTCCATCTACACACCTGCATGCAGAAGCTCTTAAGAAAGAGGCTTGGATGGCCTTGATAAGTTACAAGAACCTCTCTACCCTGATGTATTAATGGGAACTTCTATATTTTGCGAAGGTGGCACACCTCTAAGTTACGTTATCTTGTCGTATGTAGGCATACCTCTCATAAAACGGCAATGATCCCCTTGTTACACAAAGAGTTATGAAGACCAATGTAGTCCATCCCGCCACTCTTGAAAGGAAGGGCAACCCGGATTCTACGTCGATACGTGTGATTTCTGCGGATATAGCACCTATCACAAATTAAAATTTGAGGGGTTGATGTAGCAAGTACCTAAGACACTACCTACCTAAGGTGACTTCTCATGCGACCACGATGATTGTGTTACCATACAACTGTTATAGAGCTGATGGTAAGCATCATAAAAGAGGGGTATTTCTCGAGAAAGTCAACTTGATCAAGGACTTCTTACTATAATATAAGCTGTTGATTAGCATAATAATCCGTTGCTGCTATCCTCAAGTTTTATGCCATGGCGCTCCAGGATATTCTGCTGTCCATCCTACCGTCCCGTGAAAGCGGACTCGGGATTATGGCAGCCTACTATATGCTCGTTCTTGTTTTCAGTTGGATAGCTTACCAGTTCGTTCGTGCTTTGTGGAATATCTCCCCTTTCCACCCTCTCAGCCGCATCCCTGGCCCGAGACTAGCAGCTGCAACATATCTTCCTGAATTCTATCATGATGTAGTAAAGTTCGGGCGATACACACATGAAATAGGGAGAATGCATGAAATATACGGTACTGATATCCCCACGCGCTATCGAGACGTTAAACTAACATTATCGAGGCCCCCTAGTTCGTATTAATCCCGACGAGGTTCACTGCAACGACTTCCGATTTATAGACGAGATCTATGCACTAGGTGGTAGGAAGCGTGACAAGTCGCCACACCAGGTAAACGGCTCAGCGTAAGACTTTCGCATAACTTACTAGGGGGTTGAAACTTATAGGAGCTTAGTATGGGTACCTCTACTTTTGGAACCTCCGACCACAATCTACACCGCATACGCCGTATCCCAGTAGCAAAATTCTTCTCCAGGGCTCAGCTCGCGCAGCTCGAGCCGCTGATCCAGCGTCTGGCCCAGCGTCTCTGCGATAAGATGCTGGCACAAGCGGGTCCCTTCAACCTTGCGAGTATGTAGTATAGAGAATTCCTTATCTCCCCTTTTTATCTCGTCTCCAGAACTGGTATTTCCTTATAGCAACGACTAAGGAGTTCCCAATCCCAAGACATATCTAGACCACTAGTTTTCTTACGAAGAAGTAATTATTGACTTTCGTTATTGTAGTGGCTTATAGCTGCTTCACCGCGGATGCAATCTCAGACTATAGTTTTGGCGAAAGCTTAGGGCATCTCGACCAAGAATCGTGGGAACCCAATTACCTCCAGTCGCAGATCTCTATCCTAAGCACGGTTCATATATTCCGCTTCTTTCCCTTCCTGAACTACATCGCAGCGGCAAGTCCATGGTAAGTTACGACTTAGAAGTACTATACTATATCTTAGCCACTGACAAAATCCAGGTTCTCAAATTACCTACCTCGAGACACTGCGTTGATGATCCGGACGCTAAATGTGCGTAATAAGAATATTACCGAGTCATAGGCTCGAACTGACAAATATAGACCACCATACCCAATATGGTTAAGAAAGTCAAGATCAGCATGGAAGCGGGCATCGAGCGCGAGCGCCCGACCGTCTTTGCCGAGTTACTCAAGTCAGACCTACCGGAGCAAGAAAAAACCATGACCCGGCTCGTAAATGAGGCCACCGCCATTATGGGCGGCGGCACCGGGACCACAAGCTGGGCCCTTAGCGTCATTACATACCACCTTCTGACGAAACCGAAGCTCTTGGGCAAGCTAACCGACGAGCTACGCGGCGCTGTATCCGACCCGCAGAACTTGCCCCCTTGGACGACGCTGGAGAAATTGCCGTACCTCGACGCGGTGATCCAGGAGGGCTTGCGACTGTCGTACGGCACGTCCGCGCGCACCGCCCGCGTGGCAACCGAGGAGGACCTGGTGTACCGCGGAGAATGGAAACCAGAGGGTAGCAAGAAGAGCGTACCGCTTGCGTATATTATCCCCCGGGGCTACGCCATCGGCATGTCAACACACTTAATACACCACGACGAGACCCTATTCCCGAACTCAAACGAGTTCACACCCGAGCGGTGGCTTGATGCCAATCTAGAAAAGAGGAGGGAGATTGAACAGCATAACCTCTCCTTCGGGAAGGGCAGCAGGATGTGCTTTGGTATGAAGTATGTGAATCCCGACGCCTGGAGTTTTGCTTCGGTGTAGTGCTGCTAATGAAATATTGCAATACGTAGTCTTGCGCTCTGCGAGCTGTACCTCGGTCTTACCGTGTTGGTGTTGCGCGTATTTCCGCACATGCGCCTGTTCGAAACTACCGAGGAGGATATTCGATATGATTATGATATAGTTATACCTATGACTAGCGCCGATAGCAAGGGCGTAAGAGTAGTCATTGTATAGCTCTTAAGCTAGGTACCTACCTATAGTATGCTATATCACTATATGGTGGCCACATGAAGGTTTGTAATAGTTTCTGGGTGGATTTAAATGTGACTTATGTTTTTCTCCTGTTGGTTCGCGCGAAGAGACAAACTTTCTTGTTAATAGGACCGCTAGTTGCTTTGGGCGATACTGGCAGAACGAACTGTAGCAGGAGTAATGAAAGGGAAACCGAGAAAGTTTCGACAAACTCATTACGATACGCCCCTTTTTTATGTCAAGTGTTTTACTAGCTAGTTCAATTGATGTCGACTTAAAGTCTACCTCATCGTATATGACACTATCGTCTAGTGTTCTACCGACTTGGACGGTCTCAAGGAATCCTCAACGCCCCGTATGGTGGCCAACGGTGCGGCTAAGTGCCAGTAAATGTACTACACATACCATCCCTACGTGGGATTATTCGCCCCGTAGACTCGGGGTAGATTACTTTCAAGACCCTCCAGCTCAACCCCGCCGTATAAGGTACAACTAGTTCCTTATATAAAGGGATGCCGATGTTTTCTTCTGTATAAAATAGCTCCCGGTACTATCAATTCTTGCTCGCTCTGAAGCCGACGGCGATATGATTTGCCCCCTCATGTCTTAGCACATCAAAAATACATCACAAGACTAGCTTATAGATGCATGCCACCTTCGGGGTCCTCGTCGACTTCAGGCGGCATTCGACTTTCGAGCTGCCGTAAAAGTTCCCGCTCTTCATCTCCGAGTTGACTTAACGTTCCCGTTTGGAACGTGCCGTCTCGCCATGCCGGGTGTTGGGTTTCCCCGTTTGCTCCATGACCATTTACTCCGTTTGTCGAGTTGCCGGTCTCTGTGTTGGCATTATCGGTTGCGGCTGGAGTAACATCCTCATCGTCGATCTTTCCTTGGAGTTCGCGCCAGCTAAGTCCGCGGCCCTCAACTTCGGCCCGTATCAACTCGATGCGCTCTTGCATGCGCGCGATAACAGCCTCATTCTCTGCGATGGCGTCGATACAGTCTTGGTCCGGCTGTGTAGCACCGCCCTGCTGATCTAGAGTCGGCGCTCGCCCTTCGGCATAGGGCCTAAGTTCAGCGTTGGAGTAGTCTAGATGGGCTATCGAATTACGTAGCTCCAAGACTTTGAGGGCGAGATTCTCGGCGGATAAGTCCTTCAGCGCTTCGGCAAAGCGTGCTGGGTTTATGGGTTGTGCTTCGGAAGACATATTGTAAAAGGGGTCTGGCTTTCTACTAGTTGGCCTTGTAGTATGTTGAGAAACCAACCTATGTATTGAAGTTCAGGGCTCTTAGCTTGACGTTATTTAAAGTTGTCGCAATGCTGAAAGCTGCCTGGAGGGAAGTTGTACAGAAGTACTTACCTTAGGTACCTACCACCTACATCATCAGAGCCATCGATAAGACATTCCAGAAACTTTTTAGCGGGGCTTTGAAAAGGAGCTTGGGCCATATAATATGGGTACCGAGGGGCAATGTGGGGGCACTGATACAGATATATATTTATATGTCCAGTATTACTTACCTTACATAAGATTATCACGACCGCTATCGCAACTCTCTCCACCTTGAACCGTTGGAGTTTCGGCCGTCTGAGGAAATTTGGATGATGTGATAAGAGCCCTGTATCTCGGCATACTACTCGGCATCTTATTACGTATAATGGTATAGTGCGAATCTCCTTATCTTCCTAAGAGTCGTATCCGCTCGAATTGACCATTCAGAGTTGATGCTCTCTACAAGATGGAGCTCCTATCGTCACATTCAGGAATTGGAGTAGCTATCAGAGCTGGGGAGGTGAAAGTGTTATATTTATCATCTGTATCCGTTTCCAATTTCCGGAATTCTTGGTCATTTCGTGTATATAACGGGACGTTAATTCTATTTTATATTGTTGTTGGTATTCCTTAGATATTGCCATGATCGTGTCTAAGCTAGCTCTTGTAGCCAGTACCCTAACGGGTGTTACTATAGCTCGATCAGTTCACCAAGATGGGCCTCAACAGATACTCGACGATGTAAGCCCGGCCTCTTTCAAATGCGATATTCCGCCAGTGGTGGACCCTTCGAAAGACGGACTGCCGGCTGCTCGTGATATCTTCTCTGATCAAGAGGCATTGCTGCTTCAGGTTAAGAGGCATGGTACCATTGTGAAGATACCTTCCATCTCGTACGATGATAACGGAGAACCCGGCGAAGACTCTAGATGGGATGTATTCTACGACTTACATAGGGCTTTGGCTGCTTTGTATCCTAATATGTAAGTGTCTATAATATTGTTATCTGCTAGTACCATTAAGCAACTCGTGATGTTCTACTGATCCTCCGAGCTGACCGCGGTCTATAGTCACCTTCGGGCAGCCCGCGAGACGGTGAATACGTTCGGTTTAATATATACGATCAAGGGGACGGAACCTGCCCTTAAACCACTCCTGCTAGCTGCGCATCAAGACGTGGTGCCCGTTGCCGACGCCTCAACTTGGAAGTATCCACCATTCTCGGCCCATTTCGATGGGCAATGGCTATGGGGACGGGGTGCATCGGACGACAAGAATAGTTTGACTGGCCTGTTTTCTGCTCTAGAAGCCCTGCTATCAAACCCTCGCTGGGTGCCGAGGAGAACTATAATACTCGCACTTGGATTTGATGAGGAGTGCTCAGGTCGTAGAGGAGCTGGTCATATTGGGCCTTACCTGGAAAAGCGGTATGGCCCTAATTCGATGGCCCTGATCCTCGATGAAGGAGGAATGGGATTACAACTCCTTGGCAACGATACCTTGTGTGAGTATGTTAGTATACGTTTTCTCGTACTTCTAGGCTAATTATATACCGTAGATGCCCTTCCTGCCGTTATGGAAAAGGGTCATGTTGATATCTGGTTGGAACTGTACGTAAACGGAGGTCACTCATCAGCGCCTTTTCCACATACTGGCATTGGTATAATGGCCGAGTTTGTCAACCATCTGGAATCTAATCCGTGGAAGCCCAAACTCATCGAGGGGTCGCCCATCTACAATCACTTTGTCTGCCAGGCAAAACATTCCCCTGACGCGTCACCAAATATCACTAAGCTAATAAACAAAGGGGACTTGGAATCATTGACCGAAGAACTGGCGACGATCGATCGGCCGACTCAGTATCGGATACAGACCTCTCAAGCTGTCGACTATTTCCTCGGAGGGGTAAAAATCAATGCTATGCCGGAGTATATCAAGATCGGTGTCAACCACCGCATCGCGCCTCAGGATTCTATATCAGCAGTGAAGGCCAACATCTTGAAACAGATTAAGCCAATCGTGAAAAAGTTCGGTTTGACAGTCAGCGCCTTCAAAGGGGAGGAACACAATCCAAATATCGAACTAGATGAGAACCTCAGCGACGGAGCTGTAGACCCGATGTATGAGGTGGAATACAACGGAACACTCGTCCTTACATCGTCTCAACCTACTTTAGTTGCTCCGATCTCACCGACGTCAGGGCCAATCTGGGATGTTTTCTCGGGGACGATCCAGCATAGCTTTGCTTTCGAAGGCGGAAAGGTAATTCCCGTGGGAGAACTCATGACGGGTAACACAGACACTCGCCACTATCTAAGTAAGTGAAGCTCTAGATTCGTCTAGACGTCTAATAACAGTTGCTAATCTTTGATTTCTAAGACTTGACCAACCACATTTATCGGTGGACGCCAACTCGCCAGGGAAGTAACGCCAATGCTCATACGGTCGATGAAAGGGTAGATATGTACGCGCATTTGGAAATTGTTAGGTTCTATTACGACTTAATTAGGAACTTTGATGTCTCTCCTGTTGCGGCTTTTGAGGAACAAGTGGATATTGGAGAATTGTGACTTGGGTGAGTCGTCTTATTCTTCAAGATACATATCCGAATAGAGATATTTCTTCTGTTTCCATACCGTTGAAGACGATAATTGCCTACGTAAAGTATCAACGAAAAATGTACATAGCAATATCCATAGGATTGTGCGTGATGCCCGACTTTTAGGAGGGTTATTGTGCCAGGCCAAGTTAAGGATATTTCCTAATTAGGCAATTTGTCTGTGCACCCACTAGTGCCTTTTAGTTGTGGGTCCCAGGTATGTAATAGGCTAGAATATGGGGCTAAGGTTTTAGCTGCATGATTAGTGTTAAGCTAGTTTTAATTTGGACATTTTAGGTGGTACGTATTTTTGATAAAAGATAAGACTTTTGATGAGCCGATAAGAGGATAAGGCTTTTGATAAAAGAGATAAGAGGATTGGGGAAAAGGGTGGCTTGTGCATTAGGTTTAGGCTAAAAATTTAACCAATTACATTAGGTGGCCATATGCCAATATAAGGCCACATATAGGTTATATGTTCTTAAGTGTAAAACTAAATCCTTTTGGGACAACGCCATAACTATGACTTTTACAGGAAGCCGGGTTCGAATCTCACACGTTCCTTTTTTGTCTTATTTTAACAAAAGATAGGCAATGGATAGTTAGAGCATCGTGCCACCGCCGGGCCGCGCGAGGGAAGGCGCGAGGGGGGCGCGAGGCGCGCGTTAGCGCGCCGAGCGCCCTCCGAGCGCCCCCGAGCGCGGTCTGGCGTGGTGGCACGTGACCCTGTGGGATGAGCGGCTAAATTTCGGAAAAACGATATAAGGGGATGGGATGACATAAGGGGGGATGACATACGGGATGACATAAGCATGAGCTTCGCTAAAAGTCGGGCTCTTGTGGTCCCCACAGGGGGGGCCCTCGGTTTAGATAGTAAGAGGTTCATGTCTGTGTACGAGTACCTACCTTATTTAAGAGCTCCACTGAATTGAGTTGAAGTTAGCGCGGGGTTGCCCCTGAGCCAATCATATTAGCGTGATACAACTAACCTTGCAGCTGGCGCAAACGTTGAATTGAAATGGGTCCATTGAAAATCGGATGCGGTAAAAAGTATCAAATCTATCCGGCAACATGCTCAAGACCTAGATCTCTCTCGACCATATAAGTCTTATGGGTCTCACAAGGTTAAAAGTGATATAGCAGCATGATGGTATAATCAACTGTACCATGCCTATTCTCCCCTCACTCTCTCCCCTGTCAAGTTTTCAGCTTGGCCTGCGGGCCATCACTGGTAACTCCGGGAGCTCGCTGATTTCTTATGCGGCTCGCTCGTTTTCGACGAGGCACCATTCCATAACACCATGCTGCCGATATAATAACAGAGGGGCCATGAGCCCTTTAACAATTCCGAGAAATTCCCGTCCAAATAGCCTGTCACCTCGAATATTCGTTCGAATGTTGTCTAGATTCCGCGCGATTACACATTACTTGAAAGTACCTGATTCCTACGAAGATAGCCAGGGCTTGCCATTCCGAAAGGAAGATCTCAACCAAAGAGAGGTTAACCAGATATTTGGTGGAGGGCACCTCCCTGCTTCGTTGGCAAACAAGCTTCTTCGAATTTTACATGGTCGTCGAGTAGCAGGAACTCTAGATGACCCGAATCTTCGAGCGAATACGGCCCAGTTCAGCGCTGCGGATCAAAGGAAAGCATTGGGATATCTACGTGCTAATATTCCCGTAGACGAGGTTATTAATGCTGGCCTACGAGCCGAGGATGAGCTCCAATACTTAGAGCTAGAAGACGAGAGTGGCGAACAGCAAACCGGAGAAAGTAGCCCGCAAGGACCCTCTTCTGATACCGTAACGAATGAAACTTTAACCCCAACCGGACGACTCCCGAAAATAAATAAAACCGATTCACCTTATGGAGTAAGTCCTCTCGACCGAATTCGCGCCCATAACATTGCGAAACGCGAGGCGGAAGAGAAGAGGTTGGAGGAAGAACGGAAGAAGCGCGAGGAAGAGGAGGCGTCAAAGAACATCGGCACTCTCCAGACTGAGCAGCAGAAGCCGAAAGAGTTGAGCCCGTTCGTGAAGAAGTGGGCAGCGCGCGCAACATCCGACCTCAAGGCACCTCCCGAGATGAAAGCTTGGGAACGTCTGCTCCCACAATTTGTTATGACCATTCTAGTCTTGGCGGGATGCGCCGCGTATGCTATCGTATACACGCCGCCTAAACGATCTGAAAGATTATGGCCGACTATTCCGCCTGCAGCTGCAACTTGTCTTGCTATCATCGGAATTAACTTGACAGTTTGGATTTCCTGGAAATTACCACCGCTATGGGCGCTCCTGAACCGATACTTCATAGTTATTCCCGCGACACCGCGGCCCCTCCAGTTGGTTGGAGCGATCTTTTCTCATCACAAGTTTAGCCACGTAGCCTTAAACATGGTAGCGTTTTGGTTCTTCGGCATTCGGCTTCACGACGAGATTGGAAGGGGCAATTTTCTCGCCTTGTGGTTTGCTTCTGGAACTTTAGGGTTCATGAGTAGTCTGACACGTTTAGTTCTCTCTGGAGGCTTAACGTACACGACACTTGGGGCTTCGGGGGCAATTTACGGAATCATCGGTGCATATTTCTGGCTACACAAGTACGACGAGTTTAAACTATTTGGGTACCCCCCTGATCCGATGTCTGGCCCGCAGGGCTTAGCCTTTATCGGCCTAATATTGGGCCTACATGTGCTCCCCCTATTCTCGAAGAGGTCACATAACCTCGACATTGCATCGCACTTAGGAGGTATCTTAGCGGGCGTAGCCGGGGCGGACCTTGTCAAGAGACACATGGATGAGAAGGCGAGGGTTAGGGCCGAAAGGCTAAAGACTATGGGCGCACTGGAGAAGACTGTTCAAGTAAAGGAGAAGGACTCTAAGGGGACGCTCCAAACGGCTGTCGGGCGTTAAGCGATGACCAAAATTACTAGTTACATACATGTACTTAGTCTCTATTCTCCCTGTACATATTTACAGGTCTCGAAGTTGAAAGGCGGCGGCCATGTAAATATTGTACAATATACTGACTGATATGATAGAGCTTGTATGTATATAGAAAGACTCCATCTCAAGATATCAGGTAATACCTGTTAAGAACCCAGCATGACCTTTGCGGAGTATTCGTCCTACCCACAGGGGACGTACGTCATTTCTTAGGGTAGCAGTTCTAATTAGGGGAATAACTTATGTGCAGCAGATGCGTGCGCTTAAACCAACGAATAGCTTCGAAGTGAAAACGTGTAAGACATGTACACATTTCCATGGCTCAGCCTGTCATCTGCCCTAACGGGTTCATACTCGACGCGCGTCGGCGTATGACAATATGTAGAAAATATCTGTGGTTGAGAGAGCAAGTTGCGAGACTATTCTATCGCATCCTCGAGCGAAGCCAAGGTCAAAGCCGACGAGGCTGCGATGCAGGCGATGCAGCAGCGAGGCCTCCCTTGCTGATATACATGTAGGTACCTAATCTGCAATATCCCCCGTAGCGCATTTCTATGGGACATATCCTGTAAGATGGTTGAAACAAGATGACCAATGAGAGCAAATAGATATTAATATCCGTAATTGACATTTTACACAAAGCTCCTCATCTTAGATCTGTAAATTCAGATAGAGTTTTACTAAATATGTACAACTTTCAAACTGTAAAGCACCTTAGTACGAATCTAAAGAACTTTATCGCATTTAGAATGCTAAAGCGGCTGTACCAACGTTGAACATCAAGGGTAATATTGACCTGGCCCATGCCCTAAATTGGGATAGGCTTCCCTGGCGCAAGCCCTGGTTTAGGTACAGAGATAGCCACGAGGAATCTAACCAGTGACCATTCACCATCGACATAACATCATTCCCGTGCTCCACTCTTGCTCCAATGGGACACTGCAGCGGCCTGCATGCCTTAGCGGGCCCAGCTGCCTACCTGGTAGCTCTTTAGCTAGTACCTGACTGGTTGGGAAGGATCATCACTGCTGACAACGGAAACTGCTGATCGTGAGATTTTATTCTTGTTATGATTTTTATTGTTCGGAATCGGCACACGCTTGTCTCACAATTTCACCTAAAATTTCCACACCCTCTCTTTTCCTCATTTCGCCAATTTTGTTTCGTTTCTCTTCCCTGGGGGCTGAACTTGAATGTAATTATTAATTACCGTATATCGGCAGAATTGAATCGCAATTGTTCCTTTTCGCTTCCCTTTGTTCGACTCGTGTTTGAGTACTCGGTTTCTTGGCATACATTTGAAGTCCCTGTTTTGTTAGTTTATTAGGTGATACCTTGATCTGTCGAACTTGTTGTAACTCGTTATCGACGCCTCTTTCGTGCTCTGCATCCAACCGAGATTTGAATTTGTTTACATACTTTCCAATCGTGCCACGGCGCAACCTCTGTAGACCTCGTCTAAATAAAGCAACTTGTCGCGTTTCACCGTTCTTCGTGCCTTGCATCGAGGATTCTCAACACTGATACGCTCTTATCAGCGCCGTCAGCTACACCGACTAGCAAATCCTTTTCGAGCCTACATTACTAGAGTAGAAGCGATACACTTAGAACAAGTTGAAGCTAAAGCAACTGTCGGTCCGTCGTATTAGAAAGCACCATGGCCACGCCTGAGAACGTTGATCATATCGAAGAAGATCCGCGCAATCCTTACGCCTCGGCCAATAAATGGAGACATCAAGAGTCGTCCTCCTTCGCTCGCGCCGCACTTGCACGAGATGCTCAATCGTCCAGTGCAGACACAAAGGACCTGTCCAACTTTTTCAACTCCGCGCGCGTCGAGAGCGACGGGCCTGCAGCTGGAAATTATAAACCAATTGTTGTCAGTAACGTTCATGGCGCACACGACGGAGGAATCGTCGACGACGGGAAAGAGGTGGTGTGTGGACCTCTACTGAATTACCGACGTATGGAAGATAGGACGTGGCACGGAAGCGTTTTGATTGTTATCAAGGGTGGTGGCAAGACCCAGGCTTTTCACCCTACCTTAAGCCTCAGTCGCGTCGAGACAGCCACCGGGCAACCAGGTTTACTTCATCCGGAATCCAGTGTTAACGGTTCCGAGGCGCTAGGGACGAGCAGTTCCGGTGCTGTTCGGAATGGCGCTGACGTATCAGGTATCTGTCTCTATTCTGATCCTAGGAACACGTTTTGGCAATTTCCTATTGCTTGTGAAATCGGCAATACCGAGACGAAATGGGCGTACTCGATTGCCAATGTGCGCTACAAAAGCGCCACGAAGCCAAAGACGAACTACTTCTTCGTTCCAGCCATCGACGAGTCGATGCGAATCATGTTCCATTCGTGCAATGGCTTCAGCGTAGGCACGGATGAAGACGCCTGGAGCGGACCGGCGCTATGGAATGATGTAGTGAGAAATCATGCCAAAGCTCCATTCCACGTAATGATAGGAGGTGGCGACCAAATCTATAACGATGGTATTCGAGTAAGCGGGCCTCTTCGCGAATGGACCGATATAGGGAACCCGAAGAAACGACGCGACTTCCCTTTTCCAGAAAGCTTGCGAGCAGCTTGCGATGATTACTACCTGAATAATTATATTCGATGGTATTCAACGGAACCGTTCGCCGCTGCCAACGGACAAATACCACAGCTAAACATTTGGGACGACCATGATATTATTGATGGTTTCGGATCCTATGTTAACGAGTTCATGAAGTGCGATGTATTCCGAGGTATTGGTGGCACTGCTCACAAATATTATATGCTTTTCCAGCATCACCTAGCGCCACCTCCTTCGACATACACGTCGGATGTTCCCGCAACCCCAGAGCATGGGTTACAGCAACAGGATCCGGCGCAACTCGTGGATACGTTTGTGAGAGAGCAATCATTTGACTCGTCCTATATCATCGGTAGCAGTCCCGGACCATACGTCGCCCAGCACTCGATGAACATGTTTTCCAAGCTCGGCGCCAGAATCGCGTTCCTTGGCATTGACGCTCGTACCGAACGTACACGACACCAGGTTAACTATCCTGAGACGTACGACCTCATTTTTGGTCGCGTGAAGGATGAACTAGGAGCAGCGGCAGCAGCTGGTAGACCCTTTAGGCATTTGATTTTGTTGCTAGGTATTCCGATTGCGTATCCGGTAAGGTATTTGTGTTCTTTGAAGTATCGCACTTAGCTAATAGTGCTAGCGACTCACTTGGTTGGAGAACGTGTTCAGCAGCCCCCTTATTGCACCTGTTAAATTCTTGAACCGAAGATTCGGATTCGGTAAGTACTGCCTTGATTTGTCTAACTATCGCGGTTATTCATGATTGTCATAGGTGGCGGCGTGTTTAATCACTTCGACGGTAGCGTGGATCTCCTAGATGATTTGGACGACCACTATACCGCCAGGACCCATAAGAAAGAGCGAAATGCTCTAATAAAACGGCTTCAGACTGTCTGCTCAGAGTTCTCGGTCCGCCTCACCATTCTCGGAGGGGACGTTCATTTGGCAGCTCTCGGACGGTTTTACTCAAACCCAAACCTGCACATTCCAGTTGAAGCCGATCATCGTTACATAGTCAACGTAGTATCTTCCGCGATAGTGAATAAACCCCCGCCGGCAGCAATTGCCAACCTCCTAGCAAGCCGTAACAAAATCCATCATCTCGATGCGGACACGGATGAGACGCTCATGGCACTCTTCGATAAGGATCCGGGGAATTCTAGCAAGACCCGGTCTTCGAACAATGTCACGATGCCTAGCCGAAATTACGCTGTTCTCACGGAAAACTCGCCGAACAATAGGGGTGGGGCTGCTAATGGTCACGCAGAACCAGCGGAAGCCAATCCGTCGGAGAATCAGTTCGATGGTAAGGATGGACACTCATACCTATCCAAAGGCGAACTCGGCGCGGGCACTAAGCACAAGGCCGCGAATTTCGAGACGCATGGCAAAGATAACGATGGTGGTCTCGACGTCTGCATTCGGGTAGAGATTGACCAGCATGATAAAGAGGGCAAGACCGAACCGTACGGCCTAACGATTCCAGCTCTTAACTACGAAGCTGGGAAGTTTAGCACCAACGCGCACACTCATCATCTTCGCCACCACCGAAGCCGACCAGACACGGCTGGAGCTGCGAGCTCTTTTGCCCCAAGTACTGCCCCTTCGTTGCCTGTCTCGGCGCCTGAAGCTACTCACTAGAGGCAAGCCTAGCTGGAGCGCGATTGGCATACAAGCATAGGCCGTAACCGAGATAAGGGCGTATATGCTACACGGTCTACTATACCATCTACTTGTCGGGTATATTTCAAGAATGGATCATGAATACAAGCTCGTATTTAAAACAATAGACGAAGGATAATAGATAATACCCCAGGAAGAGGATTGCTATAACGAATTGGTTTTTGAATCCCCTTCAATAGTTATGTATTTTATACTCTACTGCTGATATCACCATTGGTAGCTTGTTATAGGTAGTGTGCAAAGAGGCGTTTTCGCATCGTTCGCTATCCTATTATGCAGGATGCCTAGCCTAAGTCTATATGCTGAGATTACTCGACAGTTTACGAGTCGATAGTAAAAGTTGTTGAAGAATTGATAAGACCCAGCGGGTCCGACGCCGAGATACGAATTTAGCCGGTCTCCGTTCTAATGGGATGTTAGCTTGAGTTCTGTTAGCTTCAGTTCTGTTAGCTTCAGTTCTGTTAGCTTCCAGTTTATAAGTCGAACTAGGATTAGCAAGGCGGCTCAAGAAGCTCATGCCGAATTCGGCTCGTCTGCAGCAAATATCAAGCTCCTAATTGGTGCTTCCTTTCAATTGGGACTTCGCGCTTCTTTGCCCCGCAAAGTCGTTCGTTTATGCCGTAGCAAAGCGAGCTCATACATCATAATCATCGGAGTTGAAGCGCCGATGAAGCATCGTCTGTTGACTTCTGTTATTTGATAAGTAGCTACGTTGCACGCAAATTGCAATATCCAACGATGAAAATTCGTTGATCTATAATAACATACTAAGATACCAATCCATTGATTCCTTTTACAACCAAACCCGGTGATAATTGTTCCCTCTTCGTATATTCGATATGGCGTCTACACGCAGAGGCTATGGCCTTGTGAGGGCAATGCAGAGCCCGACTCTATCTTCGAGGGTTTGCTCTAAATGTCTGCCAGCTCTTCGATCTCCCAGAAATATAAGGGCTTTGAGTACGACGAGCGCCAGAACAACGTCGCTGGCTACTTTCAAGATACCCAAAGTTACAAATGAACCTAACGTACGTTTATTCTACATGCTTTTCAGTCTCGCCAATTATCAGCCAAGTAATTAACAAGACACATAGCACATATATGCGAAGGGCTCGGCGCAAAGAGCAGGACTCATTGCTGCAATTGAGACGCAACAGAAGAAGGGCCCAATAGAAATTCCGCTCGTGATAGGGGGCAAGGAGGTACGTATAATATGAACGCCAATCTCCTCTTAAGCTCCGTAGATTAATCTCCCGTACAGGTCAAAACATCACAAAAATCTACACAGCATAACCCTTCCGACCACAACACGCCGGTAGCCAATTATTCCACAGCTAGTCCCTCCGATGTTAATAAAGCCATCGAAGCAGCCTTGGCCGCGAAGCCAGCATGGGAGTCGCTCCCTTTCGCAGACAGGGCCGCCGTCTTCCTTAAGGCAGCAGATCTCATAGCCACCAAGTATCGATATGAAATTATGGCCACTACAATTCTCGGCCAGGGCAAGAATGCTTGGCAAGCCGAGATCGACGCCGCAGCAGAGCTGTGCGACTTCTTGCGCTTCAATGTCCAATATGCTGAAGAATTGTACGCACAACAACCTGCCCACAACTCCCCTGGTTTATGGAACCGTATCGAATACCGACCGCTGGAGGGCTTCGTCTACGCCGTCAGCCCCTTTAACTTCACTGCTATCGGGGGCAATCTGGCAGGAACACCTGCGCTTCTGGGTAACGTGGTGATCTGGAAGCCATCCGACTCTGCAGTTGCAGCGGGTTATTTGCTACACAAGATCCTGCTCGAGGCGGGACTACCTGAGAATGTAATCCAGTTCGTGCCTGGAAACCCCGAAGAGGTGACTAAGACGGTACTCGCGCACAAGCAGTTTGCTGCACTACACTACACCGGCAGCACAGCCGTATTCCGCAAGCTGTACGGCCAGATCGGGCAGGGCATCGCCGAGGCCCGGTACGTAGGCTACCCGCGCATCGTAGGTGAGACCGGCGGCAAAAACTTCCACCTAGTCCACTCGTCTGCCGACGTCCAAAACGCCGTGGTCCAGACTATCCGCGGCGCCTTCGAGTACTCGGGTCAGAAGTGCAGCGCTACGAGCCGTGTATACGTCGCCAAGTCGATCTGGCCCGAGTTCAAGGAGAAGCTAGTCAAAGAGACCAGCGCGCTCAAGGTCGGCGCGCCGTGGAAACCCGAGAACTTCATCGGGCCCGTGATCCACGAGCCCAGCTTCAAAAAGCTAACCGGAGTCATCGAGGAAGCCAAGAACGACCCTGAGCTGGAGCTCCTAACCGGCGGCAAGTACGACGGGTCGAAGGGATACTTTATCCACCCCACTATCTACCTGGCCAGCAGCCCGACGCATAAGCTGCTATCGACGGAGCTCTTCGGCCCGATATTAACGGTGTACGTGTACGACGACACGGCCGGCGACGCTGAGAAGGCGTTCGCCGAGGCGTGCAAGCTGGTAGACGGCACGAGCGAGTACGGGCTCACGGGTTCCGTGTTCGCGTCGGACAGGCATGCGATCCGCGCCGCGGAGGACGCGCTGCGCAACGCGGCGGGCAACTTCTACGTCAACTGCAAGAGCACGGGCGCGGTGGTGGGGCAGCAGCCGTTCGGTGGCGCGCGGGCTAGCGGGACGAACGATAAGGCGGGTAGTATCAATATTATCAGCAGGTTTGTCAGTCTGAGGAGCATTAAGGAGGAGTTTTTGCCTAGTGATACGGTGGAGTATCCTAGTAATGAGGTCTAGTTTGGTGAGGAGTTACTAGGGGGTAGATACCTAGGGTTGTGGTTTGGTGGTCGATGGTTGTGATTGCTCGATATCAAGTATGATATAGCTCTTTATATGGAGTACGGCATGTAGTATGCTGAATGAAAGTCATTATGCATGATATTGTTATCTTGCTTAAGATTGGATATTTAGGTGCCTTAGGTAGATTGTTGGATTCCTCCGGGCAGTTTCTCCTTTAATCCCATTATGAATGGTATTTTTATAGTTTCGATGTAGATTATGGTGACGCAGATTCATGTCAATGCGACCTCTTTACGGGCATAGAGCGAGATCTCCATACAACAATGTGCTTGGGTGCTACTGGTCGGATTTCGTAGCTCGCCTGTCGTGTTCGCGTTACCTCTCACTTTGCCTAGGTTCGGGAATGGCGTCTATTTATTTGCTCCATGTCTATAATGCTGTTGTACTCCGGGTTTGTCTATTGTTAAGGGTATGCTGACGGTGGATATGCAGCGACATTGTTCTCACTAGGGCTTAGAGTTCTAGAATAAACATCCCTAATACACTTACAAATTCTGGGGGTTTTATTAATAAACTGTGATAAGAGGATAATAATCGTGCTAGCACAACGGAACCATAAATAAGGTATATTTCACGAAAATCAATAGATAGAAATAGGAGGTGATTTAGCGGATATATACTAGGTATGTATTAATATCATCAATAGACACTCCATAGCATACTGTCCCAAAGCTCGTGCTTAGAACTTATTGGCTTCATCATTGACGACATTATTAATCATCGGGTCAGCTCCGCTAGGAACGCCCTTCTTCTGTGCCTCTCGATCCGCCACTGAATGCCTTTAGTTAACTGCACGATACTAGAGTAAAGACCATAACATACTGGAATCGACCATAGTATCCTTGGTGGCATGTTTACCGGGCTGTTGGGCAGTCTGGTTGGCCGCACTGTTTCAGTTATGAGTTATTTTGCATAGCATATAAGGGAGTCCTGCTGAGAGAGACCACGTACGTCTGGCCAGTTACGGAGTCCTTTGCCTTCTTCAGCTTGTCCATGTTGTCTGAATTACGTTTATATATGACTCGAATTGTATAATCTTGTATTTATAGTTCGCGGTTCTCGATTAAAGAAAACAAATGATCGAGGGGGCTACTTGGCCTTTAAGTAAATCTCAAGAGACGAAAGACAGACAACCTTTTCGGGAGTAGTATATGATTCATTACTCCTGGTATCATGCCGCGCGAATAAATACGCAATACTTCGTCGGGTTACGTGTGATAAGAGGTAATAAAGGAGCTCGATTAGATTGAAATGTTATATCCAAAATTTCCGCATCTCCGCACACTCTTATATCTGGGACTCTCCTGGCATTCTCTTGTGGTAGTCCTCAAACTCGAGAAGAAACAGGACGGGATGTCCCTGCCATATATCTTATCTCATGAAGCTACCATGACTTCAAATCAAGCTTTTTTAGTCAGAGAATAAGCATTTCTTACGTCAACTCGATAGAAACCACGCAATAGTTCGGATACGAGATCAAGTCGTCAAAGATTATGAGTTTAGAGGCACTAAGATTGCAGACGTTCCTTGTTGTCTCTACCGCTGAGTTCCTCGGATGTAAATCTAAAATATTGTTTATACAGTCTAACAAACAAGATTTCTAAGAGAGCCCCGGGGAATATCTTCTAAAATATTCTCGTGTAAGCTGTTTGCTTAGACAATTCCTGGATCTCTAAAATCTTACAGTTCTCTAAGACACCTTTCTGTGTTATGATATATAGAGGTACCTATCCACAGTAAAATGGACCGTTCATTACTATTATATATATCCCATTGCTTAAACCTCTTAACTCACCCTTCGATTAAATAAAAGGTCGGCCGAAACTATCTCACAAGGCATCAGGTGAGGCACACGCACATACTCTACCTTTATCGACTAATCAAAGACTTAAAAGACTTGGTTACCTAAGTCTAAGTAGGTACTTAGACTTAGATGAAACATGTATCTGTACCTTTCCCGCACCTCGAGATGAAGGTCTACGAATCACAACCTAGGATAAGAGCGAGTAAACTCATACTAAGCTAACACATACGACTATTAGAATCCGCTGATACGACTTAACTACATACATCCACTTGGACAGCTTACCGTTTAGCTAAGCAACGGACAAATAATTATATAAGATCACCGACATGTATATAGAGATATTCGTATAAAGGAGTGCTAGCATTATTATACGAACATTTACGGATAACCTTGAATGATAGCCTCATTTTATAAAAGAAAATCGAATATTCTGATTTTTTAATGAGACTACCTAACTAGTTGCTGAGAGATCTTTCGGCAAGCAAAATTGAATTTATATTTCTATAGGATGGCCGAGTCTATTATTCGTATATAATATATATAGACTTGCCCTGCTGTGTAATAATAATGCTTCAATGTAATCCTATTGGTCTTTATTAGGCCTAGTTTATAGGTATATTAGGTACATTTATACATAGCGCGTTCTGATAGAAGAGCTTCCCTATGCGGGGATGCGGGGATGATATCTCATCAAGGGACCAACAATCTTGTGATATGTTTTTTCTCTGGAACTTGGGCTAGTGTAATATTGCTGTATAAAGTATAATCATGGCTCGTCGTCCAGTTGTCGCCATCGCCGGTTTAGCCTGCGAAACATCAACTTTCACGCCGTCGAGGACCCTCGCGCCGGCATTCCACCCCCGGCGTGGCACAGAGATCATAGACAAGTACCCCTTCATTCAAGCCGGTACACCGCTAGGCGATGCTGTTGAGTGGCGCGGTGCGCTTATTGGCCATGCCTTACCGGGTGGTATCGTGACTAGAGATGCCTTTGAGTCGCTCTCTTCGGAAATACTCAGCCGTCTTACAGAGATAGCGGCTGCAGTTAAAATTGACGGGTTTTGGTTTGATATACACGGTGCGATGTGTGTTGAGGGTCTCGATGATGCAGAATACGAATTACTAAGGCGCTGCCGCCAGGTCGTCGGTTCTGATGTCTTAGTGTCGGCGTCGATGGACCTACATGGCAACGTCTCTCGGGAACTAGCGCATCAGACGGATCTAATTACCTGCTACCGCACGGCACCTCATGTAGATGTCGCGGAAACAAAAGAGAGGGCTTTCAGGAACTTGCTTGATCTGCTTCAGCGACGGGCGAATGGTGAAGATACTATACGCCCGTTCAAGGCTTGCGTACCGATTCCGATTCTACTCCCTGGCGAACAAACTTCCACGAGGGATGAGCCGGCTACACGTATCTACGCCGCGGTGCCTGAGGTTGAGGCTGCGGAAGGGGTATTGGATGCGGCCATATGGGTTGGCTACGCTTGGGCTGACGAGCCCAGAAACCGCGCTGCGGTCGTAGTAACTGGTTGGGACAGAGAGGCGACTACCAGAGGCGCAGAGCGACTAGCACGGCTATTTTGGGGTTCGCACAAGGACTTTACCTTCGTCGCACCTACGGGGTCATTTAAAGAGTGCCTAGACACAGCATTAGCATCAGATAAACGCCCGTATTTTATCTCAGACTCGGGTGACAACCCTACGGCCGGAGGTTCCGGAGATGTGACCTGGGGCCTAACGCAGCTCCTCGCGCGTCCAGAATTCAAGTCGGAATCAGGCCCGAAAGTTATCTATGCCAGCGTACCGGGCCCCGAAGCGGTCCAAAAGGCGGTCGAGGCGGGCGTCGGGGCGACTGTGACGGTGACAGCTGGGGCAGAAGTAGATGACATTCATGCTGGACCCATCACTATGACAGGACGGGTGCATTCAATAAAGCAGGGCGACAGCCACGCAGAGATTGAGATCGTGCTGCAGGTTGGCAGCGTCTTCGCGATCCTGACTAAACTGCGTAAACCGTACCACCACGAAAGTGATTTTACGGAATTAAACCTCGCACCCCGGTCCGCAGATATCGTCATCGTCAAGATAGGATACTTGGAGCCGGAATTATATGATATGGCTGACGGTTGGATGCTCGGTCTTACGCCCGGTGGTGTCGACCAAGATCTAGAACGATTGGGGCATAAGCGGATCAGTCGTCCGATGTGGCCATTCGACCGCCAGTTTGAGGACCCTGACCTTTCTGCGAGGTTGATTCCAATGTCCAATGAGCCGTTATAGAGCTTGAGGGAACAATTACTAGCTGCGATGATATAAATGCGTAAAATTCGTGATGTTTACCGAGAGATTGTAATATTGCTCCCCCCTCGGGTCCTCCCCCCATACAAGGTTGGCGGACGCCGCCGATCCTAACACCGCTGGCCAACCTACCCATTGGAAACTCCAAGCGGAAGCTTCGAATTAGTAGAGGAAAAATTTTTGCCTTCGGGCATTTGGTCAATTTGAAACGATACAGAGAAGAGTAGACCTCTCCACTCCCAAATTTTCAGCTATAAATACTAATGGTGTTGCAGTTAGCATGGCCCTGTACTAATGATGACTTCTTCGAAGAATTTCTTCGAAGGAGGTTGATTAAGAGATTAGTACTCCACCGTTTCTGCTGGCACTTGAGGAAAGTGTAAAAAGCTAATCCGTAGACTCGAACGCTCTTTCCTTTAAACTGGCGCCCCACATTTTTAACATTCTGTCCCTGCAGGAAGTTCCTGCAAGGAACTTCCCAAAAAGACAATCTTCAAACACCACGAGAAAAAAATTTGGCAAAAAAATCTGAAGCTCACTTTGATTAAGCGTGTCATCCTTAGTGCAGGGGCCATGCTAACTGTAACACCATTAGTATTTATAGCTGAAAATTCGGGGGTGGAGAAATATATTATATTAAAAATTAAATTATTAAACCGTTATAAAAAAAATATCAATTATAATATAATTAAAAATAGGCTACTTCTACGTTAAATGTTCGCAGCATACTTGAAAGATTTTAGGTTGTTTTAGCGAATATATCTTGACGCCTATCTTTATCTAGGTACACTTGAAGATTGAAGAACCCTATCACATTCATAAGTAACTATCCGTCAGCCAGTTCGTAGTAAGCTTCCCCTAATGGATCATTGAAGTTGTCTTACTTCAATTTTGATCTATCTTTTCAAAGAGACGATCAGACGCCTTCTTCGCCTTTTCGTATATATCCGGCACCGAGCCGGGTTTTTCGAGCTCCCGTCCTACGTCTCGAGCTACATCCTCGAACCATTTGATGATAGGGGGTGATAAGTTTTTGACCGACTCTGGCGACACGTATCTAATCGCCGCTAACTGTCGTCGCTCCATATCATCTAAAACTTTATCTACAGCCATATACAATCGGTCTTCTTCTGAGCTGTGTTGATTCTGGCTACCGCGTTTGTCCGTTGTGTTTAGGACTTTGCGGATAGCGTCAGCCAAATCTTGTAGGAGGCTTAATTCAGGTAAAGATAGCCCCGATTGTGACTCCGCCGCCGGTTGGTGATCCATAGGAGCCTATATTCTCGCCCGACGCACGGTGTGAGTTCGCTACTGATGCAGAGGTTGTCACATGAAATTCACAGGCGAATGAGGCTGGAGGTGGAAGAGCGGTAGTAAACCAATTGATATAGCGGGATTTCGAGTATGACGTGCCGCGTCCTTTGCTCTCCGCAGCTTTAATCGGTTCCCTATATGAATCTTGTGGATCTTGAATGAGTTGTAGGAATGATTCGTGGCTGAAGGACGGAGCAAGCCAAAGCAACGTCGTTGTCCCGTAGTAGACACGATGCTTATTGTGTGTGGTACCGTCAGACGTTGAGGAATCCAGACTATGATGAGGCTCGAATGGCTTGTAGATCTCCAAGATCTGGAGATTTCTAAGACGACGTGGTTGATTGGTAGATGTCTTCTATGTGGTTCCCTCTGGTGCAATCTATTGTGCAATATGATTGATCTTCGGGAAGAAAAAACAATCAAAAGAATAGTGAAAGCTACCAGATGTAAAGTTAGGGTATATGTTGTACAATTGAGTTACTGACGAAAGATGAGGGATATGAGCTGCTGTGTGTTGTAGGGTGGAGGTCCTTACATAATTATATATTCACCGCCACCCAACAACCCCGTTGCCTCAAAAATACCTTACATGTACACCTTCATTTTTACCTGTTTGCTAAGCAAATGAAAAAGAATTCTACCTAAACTGGACAGATATCCTACAAAAGCGATCTACCCAACCTAGCAAATACCCATATGCCCATTTCACCAATTCTTGTGTACTGGTATGTACTACGAAAGTGCGTAGTTGATTCTACGGGACTGTCTCGGCTTAGGTACCTGATACTCAGGTAAGTACATATCCAACCCGGTGCTTCGTTCCAGCCCTTGATGACTGCCAACTATCCCGCAACTATCCCGCAACTGCCCCGCAACTGCTTCTCACCCTGCCACTACAACGTATCACCTAGTTCACTCCTACCAATTCATTCCTATCAACTAATTCACCTCTACCTGTTCACCTCTACCAACAACAAACTCACAACCTACCTAGGGATATAACCCAAGGCCGGCACGCTACCACCAAGGTATAATCTTCAACTCGTCATAGTCTATGACAAATTTTGACACATTTGACTTCCCTTCACATTACACGCATCATCCTATTCTCTATTTGGACGTATCATCATGGCTCCAAGTTGGGAAACTGTGCTGCGCAGGAACGGCCAGTCCTTGCGCTCCCGAATCAAGGAACTAAATCACCGTGCTGAAGTGGATGACAGCTATTACGAACGGGACAATCCGTTCCGCCAGATAGCGCGCGATTTAGTCACTAGCCGATACCTTATATCACTAGATGATAGCAGTTCGGATCGAGAAAAAGACGTTTCCGTTTCCGTAAGTGAAGCTGGAGAAATGAACCTGGACCCAGCAGAGCAGTTCGCACATCCTCGCTTAGATTTGACTCATTCTGTCCTTCCAATTTCTGGCCAATCTCGGACAGCAACTGTCTCAATGCTAGATTACCTTGGCAGCCCCGAATTCAAAATTCATATTGTAAGTTCAAATGACTTTTGACAACATTAGGCTATTGAAAGGTGATACTAATTTTACAATATAGGAGTCCGTAACAGACTCGGGAATAGAAGCAAATACTGTCCTTCCTTGCTTAGCCTCTATATTAAATCCATGGCAGGCCATCGGCCAAGAGAAACTATGTCGCCTTGGAAAATCCAGTTTTCGAGGAGGCTTTCTCGCGGATCCTGTGGGTTTAGGCAAGTCATTAACAGCCTTAATTGCAGCGCTCAGATTACGTGATGAGCTTCCCGCGAAAGGGTTCGTACTTGTGGTCTGTCGAAAATCATGTACTTTTCAGTGGTACGATGAAATACAACGACATTTCAAAAAGGTAAGTAAATATGATTATCTAGCATCTAATCGAATGATTTACCTCATCTTTACCTACAAGTTTATTCATTTATAAGAGCTTGAAGCTGATGCGTAATTTCTACAGGACCAGCGACCTTCTGCAGTTGTCCTTGATCGTACTGATTACCCGGTCCGGCAACTGCTAAAATTTGATGTGGTCATTACGAGCCATAGCTTCGTGAGGCAACGTTACTTGGATCTATATTTATATGAAAGCTTTCACGATACGGTCTCCGGCATGTCCTTGGCTGTGGCGCGGGATGTATTTGGGGTAAACGGGCTAAAAAAGATATATATGCCATTACATTCACCTCTCTACGAAATTCTCAACCGGCCGACATCCGTCCTCATCTTTGACGAGTCTCAGGACGCAAAAAATTCTGACACTGCTTTGTGGGCGGCCTTAAAGTCCTTGAAATACCAGGCCATTTTTTTACTGTCTGGAACTCCGGCCTATAATACTCTAGACGACATTTATGGCCAAATGTCTTTATTACCAGGCTGCCCGATCCTAAGCCTACAGCATTTCCAAGCCCTTTTCAATACCGGCAAAATCACATCTAGCGAATCGGGAGGCCGAAATACCTTAGACGACCCTGCCAACTCGCGCATGCTTCTGCTAAAGAGGTTTATGGCGGGCATATTGGTAGCAAGACCGAAAAAGATCTTGAATCTACCGGCTCTGCTCGAAAAGGATATTCCGGTCGCCCTGAATTGGACTACTCACGCGGAGGTACTTTTTGCAATTGAGCTGATAGTATCTCGGGCCAAACAACTCCTTGGCCAGAGTAAAGAATGTAGCCGGACCCAGAGCAGAAGGTTACGGCGACAAGCCTTTTCGCTCTTTTGGAAAGCACAGTCCTTTTCCTCTAGTCCTCTATTGAGTTGCAGACTGACTGAAGGTGAATGGGACCAGACTGAGTATGCAGCCCATATCGAATCCGTAACCCGCGAATTCGATCGTTTCATTACCATCAGCAAAGATTTGAATTCGGATTCGACAATAACTTCTCTGAATGAAGATCAGAGAAGAGCATTTTTGCGGTGGTTGTCTCAACACAGTGGGCCGGGCGGATCCCAAAGTAGAAACGCTGCAAGGGATGAGGAAGAGGACGTCTCTAATGAGTCGTCTGACGAAGAAAGTACTTTAATAGAGGACTTATCTTCTGAATTCGACTCTAGTGAAAAGCCTAAGAGACCACAATGGCTGACCTATCTCCAAAGTCGGCCGGACGGGGCGATCTTCTCGCCTCGAATCTGCAGCATCACCAATACAGTCAAGTCCATCCTTGAAAAACCTAACGATAAGATCATGATTGTCTCAAACTACATCATGTTTCTAGATATAATTCGTGTAGCATTAGAACGCAATGCTATAAGGGCTAAAGAATTCAATGGGACAATTGCGTCTTCGGAAGCCAGAGCGGAGGTTTTGAGAGATTTTAACGATCCTCTAAGCAATTCGGCTGTACTTTTATGTACGGTTGGAGCGGGTGGTACGGGACTAAATATTACTGGTGCAAACCACCTTTTAATCAGTGAACCTCTTTGGTCTCCGGGCCAAGAGGAGCAAATCAAAGGTCGGGTTTATCGTATGGGCCAGAGAAAACCAGTAACGGTTTACCATTTATATGCCGAAGATTCCCGTATTGATACGGCCATCAGATCGGCAAACCGTGAAAAAGCCGCCAAACGCAACGACCTAATGCTGCCACTAGTCCGCGACGATAGGCGGGAGTTTATCATACCTAGGCTTCCGACCGTCGAGGAACTTTTCGACTCATGAAGGCATATGAGAGCTTCGAGAGACCATAAAAAGGAGAATGGAACATGGTAGATAGTGAAGAGGGTAAAGGTCTTTAATATAAGTCCCAATCCCTTTCGGAACTTAATCTAGTGTCCCGCCAATTAAACGCATGTCACATCTAATCCTTATGAAGTTGCCGGGTAATGTCTATAATTTCTTTAGAAGGCTAGCTTTTATTTAAGATGCCGTTTCGTAGAAATTTCCATGCTCTGCTTAGTACTCGTACCTTTGATAAAATCATCGAACAGGTGCTTAGGTACCCCCCCCATAAACATTTAATACTTTCACGTAGAAAAATGTAATAATATTTCGGTGAAATGAATCTTAATTGTAGAGAAAAGAGTATTGGTATGCTATCCCCAGACGGCCACAAGTAGTACTCATGAGTTACTGGGTAGTTCAACTGGTTCACGTAGTTAATGAGGTGCTAGGTAGGTGCAAAGGATGCTGTATTGTTTAAAAATTCCCTTGAGGCTTTTTAGTACTTCCACGTGTGCTTAGCAAACTCCCCTTGGGTATCTTCCATTTTCCAACTTCTAGTTTCAGCGTCACATGTAGAAGGAAAAGGAGAAAGAGGAAGATTTCAGGGTTCTAGATGATACATCTAAACGATGATGATGTCAGGATTCTAGATGAGACATCTAGAACAAAGGAACTGTTCAGTATGTATAGACGATAGATCTTCATAGGTAGTTTAGAGTTCCTTGCGGAACAACGAAGTTGTTTCCATACTGTTTCGTTCCACCTCGTGACAGATGATGATAACTTTTACGTCTATTGGTAACTATAGATGTCAGGGTATAAGTGGAACTAGTATGGATTAGGTAGGTAGGTAGTTATAGATTTACATAAGATAGATATAAGGGGCGCGCAGCGCCCTCGTAAAAGGATAGAAGGTTAAGCGTTAATAGATTTATGTTAATATACGGCTACTATATAGAAGAGAAGCTGCTGCTTCTAACATTCACTCTACGTATGACATACATCAAAGGTGTTTTCTGACAATAGACTACCTAAGTATACAGGGTGCGCATCTTTGGCGCGGGGACGTCTAGAGTACTTTCCAGAGGAAACAGTGCTAGAGTATCGTCTAACATGGGAAAATAAACGAGACATTTAGAACAAAGGACATACAGCATGATCGAGGGAGCCACTCACGTGGCTCTAGATAGACACCAATGCTGGCGAGAACATGATCAATGCTGCCTACTTCACTTATAGTCTTATCCACACATCCCCGCTAATTTGGCTTTGCTTAAACGGCGAAAATATGAACTTAATAATAGTGATTTGGTATAAAACCGTACATTCTCTTTTAACTAGATGTGTACCATAAGGTCTTAGTTATCAATGGTAGTTCAGTTAAGATCTCCGTCGACAAGTCACTATCGTCAAGCATGACCTAACTCTGTCGAAACAACTCGGTTGTTAGTTTTAAATTGTTGCGGCTTAACTTAGACGTTTTAATTGTACATTCGGGCTTTTAGCTTAGACATGTATTTACCTAAACCAACCGAACAACCGAGATGTCGATTAGGTACGGTCAAATTGAGGAAGGCTATTTGGGATTATCCGGAACAGAAATAATACTACATCGTGGATAGGAAACCAGGTCGTCTAGGAAGACGTTACAGCGGGCGCATCTGTGGCACCGAGACGTTTAGAATACTTGCTCAAGTGTAAATAAAACTAGAGTACCTAGTATGCTATCTATGGACCTAATTATGGAACTCAATACCTTTCCAGGTAGCGCAGCGCCTCACCCGTTCTCATCCCAACTCCGATGAAAAGAACACCGGCAGATCTTCTTTTCCTATTTTAGATGGTCTGCGTGATGCGAATATTTCAACGTCTAGAAAAGTCCACGCGCGCGTTTTCCAGGTCGGCGATGTTTGCTTTGATCCGACAAAGATTTCTCTTCAAGAGGTCGCGATTCTCTAGTACTGGACGCTGAAATCTTACGCATATAAGACGCGTAAGATCTTCCGCGGCCTCCCTTGCTACATTGATGTCTCCGGCTTCGGATATCTGCTTGAGAATTGCCTCATAATTAGTTTCTCGCTTAGTCGTTCCAGAAACGAGCCGTCCTCCAAATTCCCTATCATCGGCCTCAAGTTGTTTATCAATGGCGTCGATGATATGTTGCATATAAAATGCATCCATCTTCATCATAGCTAAAAGCTCACCAGCTGGTTTGGCAAGGGTTTCCGTATCACATTTAGGCATTAGAGGAGGTGAGTTCCCCATAACCAATAACGCAGCACGATGTGCATGCTGTATTGCTGCAGCTACCTCTTCATTCCGGGTCTCGAACTGCTCTGAGCCGTCGCCCGCGGGAACTTCTAGATTTCGCCGGTCCGCTTCGAGACAGAATTCGATCACGAACGCTCGATAAAGGCGTTCCTCGATTAAGTCGGGTACATCGAGATTACGGAGGCCACATGCTAATAAGAACAACTGGCTTGCTTTAATGTCGTAACGTTGGACCTCCTGATATCCCCCAAACCACAATCTCTATTATTTGCGCCTCGTTAGCTAACTTTAATCATTCGGTCTAGGCATAGACATCTCGAAGGAAAATATAGAGAGAGAACATACCTTGCAAGCGCGTGCCGCATCTTGAGCTTCTTCTATGTAGATCTCTTCCCGGCCATTGATGAGATTTCTTAAAAGCCTTTCGTCGTCTGAAGATTCCAGTTTCTCGGGAGCTCTACCAAGCATGACATTGATCCCCTCCATACTTCTAGTCAGGTATGTCAGATTCTTGGTTGCTTTATATAGTGCTATGTTCCGAAGAGTTTGAAGATGTTCTTCTATTGCATCGGGGCTCGCATCTTCTGCCGTCGGATTCGATTTCGGGTTCAATTTTGGTTTCGGTTTCGGCTTCGTCTTCTCTTTTGGCGGCTGCTTAATTCTAGCTGGCGATATTTGTTGGTTCATCGCTCGATTCTCCACTATCCAGCCTCTTGCGAACCGGTATATCATATCTCGCCACTGGGTCAGACAATCTCCCTGTTGGGTGGAATGGGCCACCGTCCACTCATTATAAAAGACCATCCGATCGTAGGCATTTTCAGGAAGCTGACGTGTTCGGCGAGTATTGCCGCTCTTGCCCCATAGTAGTGTAAGGTTATCCCCTTGAGCTTCGAATTTCCAAACAATTATTTGTGTATTTTGACAAGTAGGTACTATTTGATGCTTTTCCTCGTCGAAATCGGCGCGTTGTTTTGGCGTGGGCATACGCGCAACACGTTTACCTATAGCCTTTTCTGGGAGAAGTTCACCAACAACAACGGCTAGTTCGTCGATGTCTGCGGGCGGGTCATGAATATTGAGCTCATTTGGCGACCAAGTAATTCCTGTGCTACTATCGTCCTCGTTGGTATCGTCAAGTATTGGGAAGGAATGCTGGCTGTCATTTGTGCGGCGGATGCGAATAACCAGACGGATTCTTCGACCGTTGCGACCGACATCATAGGCCCAGAGTGTCGGGTGAAAAGCGAAATCTCTTTTCGTAGAGGACATTTCTGAATGCGAAATTAGAGAATAGTTAATTCGGACGCAATTAATAATGATACGTCACAAGAAGGTGTTGGTTTTACCTATGGTCGGGGTTTAATAACAGATGCGAATACCTAGCACGTATCGAAACTTTAGGTTTGGGAAAATGGATAAAATAGATGACCATAGACGTGTACGTAGGAGTTTTTGTGAATGAAAGTGCGATGTTGTAGTATGGATATTGCTGAAATAACGTTAGAAAAGAGACGATGAATTTGATGCTGTCGTATGAGAAATATGATAATGGAATCAATCTAAGTAAACCGGCAGGATTCAACCTCATTTATTAAATGGGCAATCTGATTAATCAACCGGATGTAATGCGTACCTGTTCGTACAACAGAGATGATTTTTAAAAACCTCGTTCCCGGCTCTTGTAGTACTTGACTGACTTAGGAGGATTAGAGCAACTGTTGAGCTTGTTTATACCAATCCCATATTCATAACGTAAAGGTAAGTATCTAGAACAAGATATGAGATATGTACCTAGGTAGGCTGCTTGAAGAGATGTTGTCATTCGAAATGCCAATATTTACAGGGCAACGGTGTGTGTGTTGCTATCTTAGTAGTTAAAGCGGGTGCTTACTTGTATCTAGGGACTTGGAAATGTACTTTCCTGTTTCCTCAGTATGACTCTCATACGACAATTATTTCCCAGTACAACAGTTTCCATATCCCTCGTAACATTTCTCTCTAATCACATTCCTTATCCTCTAGCTATATCACATGTCCTGAGCCCAACGTATTCGGAGTGGAAATTTCTTATGCACAATCAACTTTTAAACATGGAAAGGGAATCGAAGTCCGGATTGGCGGACCTACCGCAGGAGATCTTCGATGAAATCGCACGTTTTTCGCGTCTTCGAGAAAGATGAGCAATGATGAGAGTATCGAAGCGTTTTAACAGTGAATTTGCGGACTCCATATGGCGTGAGCTACGATTCACACATTTACAGCAACCTTTGTCTAATATGCTGCAGGCGTTCGTCTCAAAATGTAAGAAAGAGATGTGCCTGACGCAGTCACTACCGCGTCCTATCCTCAGTTTTTTTTCATTATATAAGGTAGCATGATTTGATCGCTAATTACCGCGGAAGACATCTCATATAAGAAGCTAACATTTTGGGCAGGGCGCTTACCATTAAGATTATCCCCAAACCTCCAGGACCTACAAGAATCACAGGGAGCTGGCAAAATGCGGCTGACTTTCCGAGGCAGGAGCACACTAAGGATCATCCTCGGATGGCCAGTTCGATCGTTAAGGCCATCTCCTATATGACGCAGCTCCGCTACTTAGACTTAGATGCCGAAGAGTTAGGAACACGCCAAAAGAACAAGATGATAGAATTCCTCCAAAATTCACCCAGAAAATGGTCATCAGTCAAGGGATTACGCTTTATAGGGCCAGGCGTCATTAGCAAACTAATTGTCCGCGACATGCTCATCGAACCTGACGCATTCCATTTCGATGCCGGCCCGTCTTATAGCATTTTTGAGTCCGCGGCAAAGCAGTGCCCAAAAAGACTTCACTTGACATTAGACTGGGGTGATCCTCAGGCAGACACCACTCAACTCGTATCGGAAAGGTTCTCTCAGCTGGAGTGGTTGACTATTTCGTCGTCCAACCTCTTCTACGAGGCTAATGCTGTACAACAAGGTCCACAACAAGGGTTCCCACCAAATTTCGTAAGTATTTCAAAGGCTTTGGGGTTTCTTAGGTTTTAAACCACCCGCTTACTCTAAACTTGTAGGATGGCGATATCGATTATTTCATTGAAGTCCTGGCCGGTCTACTACATCTCCAGCGTTTATGCATCATCCATAAGACAACTATTCAAGATGACTTCATAGGAAAAGAGGAGGCTACGAAGAAATATTGCCAGGAAATAGTCCAGCGCCTTGGTTTGGCTTTTCCGACGCTCCGTCGCGTAGCTGTTACTCACTACTGGCCTTTCTACTACGTGGGGATTAGAGATGAAGTTGGGGGTATATTTAAAGTGAACAAGGCGAATGCGAAGGACTTGCGACGTTGCGAATGGCCCGTTGGCGTGAGAGATGATTAACAAGACATGGTAGAAGGTAGTTCCGGGCTACTTTTCAAATCGTCTGAAATATCCTGAGTATTAACTTATAGGGCCGCGGTGTATTGAGGCTGCGTCTGGTGAGATAAATCGCAAAATTTAATTGTTGGATCCAACCTTTTCTTATTGATATTCCCAGCAAAAAAACCTAAAATATGAAATACGAAGGTATTCAAGACAATAAAATCTGATCCACAGTTTTCGGCGAATCGTATAAATAATAGGTGATGCGTCTTGCAAAGTATGGCAGCCTTGCACTGACTGTTTCCCCGGTCGTGGTTTAGACGTTTGCACATGATACTGAATATAGGTACTTACATGTAGGTAGGTAAGGTGCCCAATATACCTTAGGTACAAAGTTGGAACATCCACGCGATAAGTACAGTCATCATCATTTTAATTATTGTATGTTAAAAATATCCGTACGAAATCCAGCGAACGATTGCGCACAATACCACGATGAGCTTCGACATCCATTGTTATTCCATGTCGAAAATTTCCTCCATTTTTGTCTCTCTGCACTAGGAGTTTCGCGAAATTTACAATTATATCGGTGTAGCCTTCTCAACGCGGACCGACGCTTCAAGACCATGCCAACCTTAAGTCCCCAGCTAATCCGGGAGCGTTTGAAGAAGTATCATGTCACCGAGGACCAGTTACGAAAAATCGCAGAGACTAAATTACGTCAAAAATCACGGATCTTAGAGCAGCAAAAAGACGAGAGATTTAGAAACTGGGTGCGCCCAGCTCGTTGGCCTGTACCAGATAGTGACGACCCTTCCACCAATAGCAAGTATCCCAGTCGCGGCAAACGAAAATCGGTGCGTATTAAGTTTCGTGCTTCTAGAAATATTTAACATGTTGCTTACCTCTACGAATAGACTATACCGCGCAAACGTCCAAGATACACCGAAGACTCGTCAGACGAGATGGATGAGGACCAAGATATGCTGGACCAGTACGATGATGATGATGATATTGGAAATGATGACAAGGGGGAAGATGATGAAGGCCATGAAGATGAGGATGTGGAAGACTCTGAAGGGGACGCTGACGAAGAGGTCTCTAATAAAGAAGAAAGCCAAGATCCTTGGATTGTCAAGGATGGATCAGATGATGATGATGATGATAACTATGTAGAGATGGATTGGGATCCTAATACCGTTGAAATTTCTTCAGTTTCAGACGAGGACGAAGACGCCCAAGTGCCTTGGGACGACGACGAGGATATGGATCTTGATATGAATCAAGTTGTAGAAGATTAAGGGCTACTTAAGATGTAGCCGAATGAAAAACTAACATTTGCATTCGCGTCGATGGAAGCTATACTAGCAATCTAATAGAAAGGGAGGCACTTGATAGTGCGGTTAAGGCCTCATCGATGACGGAAAATTAAAATACATTAATATTACTGGCCTAATCGTCTCGCACACCTGAGGGCCACGAAGCACGACGTAGTACACTTGCATCCATATCAGAAATAGTCATCGTTATGCCTGGCTCATCCTTCATTCCTAGATAGTACTTCGGATAATCGGCACGAATCGCGATGGAACGAATTCTGGGTAGTTGTTCGCTCATGAACTGGATCAAACGGTGATAAAACGTTGACATGCTCTGTTCGTCTGAAACGACTTGGTTGATTTGTAGGTGGCATCTGCGTATTGTGAAGGCTAGACGATCTAGACAATGCAACTTCTTTAGGGCGTTTACGAAATTGTCCCGTTGATTTTCCTGCGGGAGCGTAATTAGTTTACAAGATTCGTCTCATGAAACCAGAGCCGAAAGAGACTTACGAATTCCGTAAGATCACGCCAGCATACACGTTCCACATCAAACTCTAGTGTGAGCCACTTCAAGGATTTGAAATCCCGGCGGATGCGGTTTGTAGCATTGACAGGCATGCCTTGGGCCTGCTCGCCTGTTAGGAAGTCCTGGTGGGTAAGAGTGAGATGAAGTCGCTCTAGTCCAGAATGATGTGCTGCTGCGGTAACGTATAGATCGCTTCTAGTACCGACGTGCAAGTGTAGCCCGTTTAAATTGGGAACAAGCTGCTGAATTATTCCCTTTACGCATCCTGGAAACCGGCTCTTTACTCGTAGTTGTCGGATAGATCCCCATCTTTCCATGATGGAAATGAGATCATTAACACTACTGTGTTGATCCGTAGTGAAGTGATGTAGTAGTAGTTCTAAGTATCTGAGCTTAGAGATTAGACTAACCGCTTTTATGATGCGTCCAGGTAGGTTGTCATCGGGCTCCCATCCGACTCTTGGAAAGTCGGGAGCATGTTCCCACCTTCCAACGCCCATAGGCTCCGGGGGAGGTTCTAGGCATTCAATATTTGCGGCCCTAGAAGATGATTAGACTAATAGATGCGTCCAGGTTCCCTAAAACTCAAAATACTTTACCAATGGGAGAAGGGATAAGATACTCACTTGATATATTTGTTGAACGCAACATTGTCTGTACCAGACGTGGATGGGGAGTTCTCGCATTTAAATACGAACATCCGGAGAAGACTCGATAGACCGCGTTGGGTGTGTGTGAAACGCATTTCCTCGAAATGAACCCCGGCAAAGGCATGGTTGAAGTATGATGATGCCTGCATCATCGCGCTACGACCACTCCTACCTACTAACTGTGAAATTTGGTCGTGAATCTCCTGAGGCATAGCGGCGGACTCCCACACGGAACATCCCTTTGAAGGCCCCGAGACCATCTTGCTTTTTTCCGTCCGAGTTCCGAATAAGTCTAGTTTCCGAGTCAACAGCGACGAACTTGTCAAAAGTGAAGGGTCTAGTAACTGGAAAGACGGAGTAGGAGAAACAAGCGTCTGAGTCTTTAATCACAGGCGTGCGGAGGCAACCAATATACGCGAGTTGCAGTAACTATCCAGCTTCTTGTTGTGTTTGTGATGAAACTGTGTTACGATGGTGGCAATGAGGGTATGTGAAAATGAGAAGCCTAATCGGTGATAGTCACGTAACCACCTGCCGTTGGGTTCAAAGGCTTTGACAGTTTAAAAGTTGCCAGGTTGTGGCTTCCCGGGAAGGGTAATCAATTTTTGTAAGCACATGTTCAATCAAACTACTTAAGGCAGCAGGATTCTGGGAGCCGACCGCGTTTAAAACGAGTTTAACGCAAATATCATCAATTCGATCAAATTTTGCAGTTAAACTCGTGATGGAAAGTTTAAAAATGGAGGAATAAATGTAAAAATACATATTATGGTAGTATAAACATATATACTTAAAATGTATTATTATGTTAAAATTAAAATGTTAATAAATTAATGTTAAATAATTAATATATATAATTAAATAATAATTAAAATAATTAAATAATAATTAAAATAATATTAATATAATTATTAATAATTTAATAAAATTAATTAATTTAATATATTTTTATTTAATTTTTATAATTTTATAATTTTTAATTGTTTTATAATATTTATTAATTTTAATAATTTTTTTTTAATTTTTTATTATAATTAATAATTATATATATTAATATATTTTAATTTATTTTTTATTTTTTATTATAATTAATAATTATTATAAATTAATTATATAATAAATATATTTTTTTTATTTATATTAAAATTAATAATTTATTTTATATTATAAATTTTATTATTATATTTTAATTAATAATAATATATATAATTATATATATTAAAATTTTTAAAATTAAATATAATTATTAATAATAATATTTATTTTATATTTATTTTATAAAAATATATTTTTAAAATAAATAATATTAATATTTTAAGTTTTAATTTTAAAGTTATTTTTTTAAATAAATTTTCGTAATAAACTTTTAATTAAACTTTTATAATAAATTACGTAAAATTTATTATAATTTTAAAAAAACCACGTAATAATATTATAATTTAATAAAAAACAAAACACTGTATTTAATATATATTTTATAAAAGTTATAATATATATATAACTTTTTTTATTTTATTTTTTTATTAAAGTTAAAATATTATATTTTAATGTTATATTAATAAAGTTTTTAATTAATTATTAAAATGGTTAATTTTAATATAAACTTTTTTATTTTATATAAAAAGTTATATATATAATAAATAATTATTTTTTTTAAATTATTTTTTAATTTATATTATTTAATTAATAATTATAAATTTTAATTTACGTTTAAAATAATTATTATATATTATTTTAAATTATAAATTTACAAATTATTTATTTATTTTTTATTTATTTATATTTTATTTTTATTTTAAAACTTTTAATATATTATTTTTAATAATTTATAATATAATTTTATTAATTAATATATATAATTTTATATATATTTTAAATAATATAAAATGTGGTTATATGTTAATTTAAATATTTAAAATATATTTTATATTATAATTTATTTGTTAATTAAATTAATAATAATTATGGTAAAAAAAATTAAAATAATAATTATAAATTATAAACTGTTGGTATAATAAAGTATGGGTGGTGGTGTATATTAAAAAGAAAATAAAATATAAATATAAAATAAAGTTATTACGATGATTGTTATTAATTTAATGATAAATTATGTGTGTAGGTGTTATTTAAAAAAAATTGCCTTTTATACGGGGATTAATTACATGTTACCACGTGATTATTTTTACGTAATAATATTTTAATATTAGTAACTTTTTTTTTCTTTTTTTTTTATATGACGTAATTATATATAATTTAATTAATTTAATATTAACAATTTTTTATTTTTTTTTATTTTTAATTTATTTTTTTTATATTATAATATAATTGTTAATAAGTTTTATAATAATATATAATAGGTTTAAATTGGTTTAAATAAGTTAAGTTAAAATAATTAAATATATAATTAAATCTTTTATTTAATTAAATTTTGTTAAATTTTTTTGTTTAATTTAATTTTATATTAAACTTTTTATTTGATTAAATTTTATTAAATTTTTTTATTTAATATGGTTTTTTATTTAATAAAATTTTTTATATGTAAGATTTTTTATTAAATTAATTAAAGCTAGTTAAAGTTAATTAAAAAGGATAAAATAAAAGTTTTATTTAATTAAAAATAAAGTTATTTTAATTAAATCGTTTAATTAAAAACGAGGTTATTTTAATTAAAGTAAAATTAATTTTATATAATTGTTATAAATTAAATATTTTTTTTAAATATAAATTGTTTTATAAAATAAACGTGTTTAATAATTTTAAGGTTTTTTTAAAAGTTATTTTATTAAAAAAGCGAAGTTATTTTAAATTATTTAAAATTTTAATTAAAATGTTAATATAAATATAATTTTTAAAATATAACTTATGGTTATATAAATATTAAATTATAAGTTAATAAAATAATTTTATTAATAAAGTAAAATACTTAATTATTTAACCGTTAAAATCATATTTAAATTAATTTTATAATTTTTTATTATATATATAAATGTTTTTATTTAAATTTAAATTTTTAATAAAACTTATATTTTTATATATATTAAAACTTTTAATAACGTATATATTTAAAAAGCTTTAATTTTATGGTTTATTTAATAGGTTATAATTTTAGTTTAAAAAAACCGGATTAATAAAGTTATTTTATGTTTTTATCTTTTTTATTATAAAAATTATTAAAATTATTAAAAGTTATAATAATTGTAAAAATTGTTGGTTTATTTAAATAAATAAAAATAATTATACGTAATAAAACGTAAATATATTATTATTAAATAAAAAATATATTATATTTATAACATATAAATACGTGTAAGTTATAATAAATTTTTCGTATGTAATAAACGTTATTTTATTAACGTATTTTTACGTTTTAAAAACGTTAAGTTAATATAAGGTTTTATTGTATTTATAACGTTATAAAAACGTGTAAATTGTAAAAAGTTTATCTTTTTTTATTAAAAAATTTAAAATATTATAATAATAACGGTAATTATTTAAATAAATTACATTTTCAATTAATATTTTATTAATTTATAACATTTTTATTTTTTAACTATTAATTAATATTAATATAACAAAGTATAAATAATAATATATATTAAAAAAAAAACGAAACATAAATATAAAATAAAATTATTACGATAATTATTATTGATTTAATAATAAATTGTGTATATAAATGTTATTTAAAAAAAATTGCCTTTTATGCAAAGATTAGTCACATGTCACCACGTGACTATCTTTACGTAATAATATTTTAATATAAACGAAATTATTTTATAAATAATAAAATACGTAATTTATATAATAATAAAAAAATAATTTAATAAAAATTTTAATTTAAATAATTTAATTTATATATTTAATAAATTATATATAACATTTTAATATTATTATAAATTTATTATTTTATTAAATTTATTAAAAAAAATTTAAAAATAATATTTTAATTATTTATTAATTATTATTAAAATTTATTATTTTAATTTTAAAAAGATTTTATTAATAAATATTTAAATATTTTAATTATAAAATAATGTTTAAAAATAATATATATATATATTTTAAAATAATTTATTATTTTAATTAAATTATGAAAATAAATATTAAATTAATATTTTTATTAATATTATTAAAATTAATTTAATTTTAAAGTTTTATTAACAAATAATTAAAAACTTTTAATTTATTTTAAAATTTTAATATAAAAAATAAAAAATATTAAAAAAAAAACGAAAAACTATTAATTAAATTTTTTTAAAAAAAACCTTTTAAACTTTTAAATTTAATAAACGGTTATTTTATAAAAAAAAAACTTTTTTTTAATTTTTTAATTTTTTAACTATTATTATTTTATTTTTTATTATTTTGTTTTAATTATTTAATTTATATATTATTAATTTTATTTTTATATTTAAATATTATTATTTTTTATTATTTTTTTTTTTATATTATATTTATGATTTTTTAAATTTTTTAATGATTTATTTATTATATTTTAAATTAATTATTTATAAATGATTTTAATTAATTATATAAATATATAATTATAAAATTAAAAAGTAAAAACGTAAAATAAATATATTTAATTAAAATATATTATTAATGTAAAAGTAAAATATAACGTATTTAATTAATTAATTTTAAAATATAAAAGTTAAATAAAATGTATTTAATAAAAATGTTTAAATTATATAAAAACGATGTAAAATACGGTTAATTAAAATTATAAATATTAAATTTTATTAATTTATTAATAATTTATATAATTATTAATGTATTTTAAAATGTATTTTTTACGTAATTAAAGTGGTTTAAACGTAATATTTTTAAAAAAATAAAAATAAAAATAAAAATATTATTAATTTTAAATTATTTTAATTAAAGTTGTTTTAAATTTTATTATAATATATTAAATTATTATAAATTTAAAAAAGATTATTTACCATTAAAATTAATAATAAATAATATTTTAATGTAAATATTTATAAAATGTATTAAAATATATTTTAATACGTAATTATTTAATATATATCATTTAAAAATTTAAATTTATTTTAAATATTTTTTAAAAAATAATCTTTTATATTATTAATTAAATTAATAAATTAAATATTTAATAATATTTTTTAAACTTAAATTTATTATTATTTTATATATTTATAAATTTATTACGTTATAATATTTTTATTTTATTAATATTTTTATTTTTAATATTAAATAATTTTAATTTTATAAAAATTATTTAAATTATTTTAAATTAAAAATTAAATATAATTTTTAATAAAATAAATTTTAAAAGTTTTTACAGTTTTAAACGTAAATTTTTTTAAAAAAAAATAAAAAAAAGTTTTAATTTTATATATATATTTAAATAAAAATTTAAATTTTTAAATGTAAATTTTTAAATTTAAATTTTTAAATTTAAATTTCCAGATTTAAATTTCCAGATGTAAATTTTTAAATTTAAATTTTTAAATCTAAATTTCTAAATCCAAATTTTTAAATTTAAATTTTTAGATTTAAGTTTTTAGATTTAAGTTTCTAGATCTAAATTTCCAAATCTAAGTTTTTAAATCCAAGTTTTTATATAAATCCAAGTTTTTAAATCCAAGTTTCCAGATCCAAATTTCCAGATCCAAGTTTCCAGATCTAAGTTTCTAGATCCAAGTTTTTCTAAATCCAAGTTTTTAAATCCAAGTTTTTAGATTTAAGTTTCCAGATCCAAATTTCCAGATCCAAGTTTCTAGATTTAAGTTTTTAGATTTAAGTTTCCAGATCCAAATTTCCAGATCCAAGTTTTTAGATCCAAGTTTTTAGATTTAAGTTTCCAGATCCAAGTTTTTAGATCTAAGTTTTTAGATCCAAGTTTTTAAATCCAAGTTTTTAAATCTAAGTTTCCAAATCCAAATTTCCAGATTTAAATTTTTAAATCTAAGTTTTTAGATCCAAATTTTTAGATCCAAGTTTCTAAATCCAAGTTTTTAAATCTAAGTTTCTAGATTTAAATTTTTAAATCTAAATTTCCAAATGTAAGTTTTTAAATCTATGTTTTTAGATTTAAATTTCTAAATCTAAATTTCTAGATCTAAGTTTTTAGATCCAAGTTTTTAGATCTAATTTTCCAGATATAAATTTGTAGATCTAAGTTTTTAAAGGTTTTTCTAACGGTGCTTTTCAATGCTTTCAAATTATGGAATTAAATTCAATCGTTGAATATCACTAAACCTTGCTTAAAGCTATGGTTTTACCTTTTCCTCCTTACTAGGACTTTTTCTTCTTTCCTCCTTTGATGTTTCTTCCATCTGATACAGCAGAATGCGTTCTTTTAGAACCTGATCGACCCTGGGTTTTTATGGCATCATCAACATCATCATCATCATTCCCTCTAACGATTCTTCCAGTTGATGTAGTAGAATGCGTTCTTTTAAAACCTGATCGACCCTGGGTTTTTATGGCATCATCAACATCATCATCATCATTCCCTCTAACGATCCTTCCAGTTGATGTAGTAGAATGCGTTCTTTTAGAACCTGATCGATCCTGGGTTCCTATGGCATCATCTTCATCTTCATCATCAACATCATCATCATCATCAACATCATCATCATCATCATTCCCTCTAACGATTCTTCCAGTTGATGTAGCAGAATGCTTTCTTTTAGAACCTGATCGATCCTGGGTTCCTATGGCATCATCTTCATCTTCATCATCAACATCAACCTCATCATCATTCCCTCTAACGATTCTTCCAGTTGATGTAGCAGAATGCGTTCTTTTAGAAGTTAATTGATCCTGGGTTCTTGTGGCATCATCTTCATCGTTATCACTGCCATTATTAGTTTCCCAGCCACCATCATCATCATTTGTACCATTTATCGGCCTCCCACTCGGATCATTAGCCCCATCTCGTTCACACCCAGTGTCTTCTATTTGTACCTCAGCATCATTCAGCTCGTCATCATTATCGTCACGCTTTGCATCTGATGATGTCTGAATCATGCGACCGGATCTAGCAAGGTCCGACCGGGAAAGAAAACGTTCCATTACTTCCGTTTGGGTTTTTATCGCTTTTGTTTGGGTGTTAATAGCATCGGCCAACGTCGTAAAGCCAACCGAAACTTGCTTAATAGCCTTTTCTTGTGATGTCGTTTGGGTGTTGATAGCCTTAACCAGCATTTCAAATCCGGCCGAAATTTTTTCGCCCACCACTTTTGTACCCGAAAGCTCACTGGCGCCTATCAGGTGCTTCATCAAAGCCTCTTCATAATCCTCCCAAAAAGGCGGAAGGTTTCGAGATGCGATGTCTAGGACTAACCAAACAAGCCCGGTGCATTTGAGAAGATGCTGGATTTGATTTGGCAAAGTCCCAAATCCGAGTATCCCATCCCCGTATATACGAAGAGCTTCTAGCTGACTGAATTTTGGGAGAGTGATGTTCGGCCAGGTGCTGGCATCAAACTCAAAGTTGGAACTTTCGCGATATTCGTGTATTTTCAAGAGAGTAGTTCTCACTTCGCTGTAGAGCATGGTCACCGAGGGTTGCTGGTCGGGTTTCACTTTTTTCACGAGATAGCGGACCGTTTCCTTTAGGCACTCGGGCCTTCTCGGCTTGCACGCGGTGAGAACAGCATACCAATACTCGAATGTATCGTTTTTGTCTTCAATCAATTTCAATGACCTGACACCAAACTTGGTCCTTCTGTAATATCTGGTATTGCTTGTATTCCTGACGATTTTTTTGGGAGGGTATCTTGCAACCTCTTCTCGTATCTCGTCATCGGTCGGTCCATTCTCCTGATTCTCTTCATATTCAAGGTTCGTCATTTCCATGTCGCCTCCATAGTCGAATTTTGCGTCTGGAATCAAATTTAAGTCGATAGCCGACCGCCTTTTTTGGATCGACTTCTTTGATCCTTTTTCCATCTTTGCTAAAGAGATAAGATGAACCGAATTGACGGAGTGGCATAAGCCGAAGGAGAATATGACGGATTGTAAAAGCCCCACGGGCAGGGATCTTTTAACACTGTAACATAATAAATTCGAAGGTTAGCATATTGATCGAACTTAACACTGGGGGGTACTTGATGCTATGAAGTGATATTAAACTTACGAAATAGAACTTTTGGGAGAACATTTACCAAAGCCTCGAGTAGTTGCTGATATTTACTAGGCGACGGTTGTTGCTAAGCACTGTTGTGAGGAATACCTTGACTACTTCCTAAAAATGTGATGTTAGGTTGAAAAGAATAGTATGACGTGTGCGACACAATGAAAATGTTTAATAATTAAACCATATATGATGGAATACGAGCCGGGTTAGGTGGGAGGAAAGTGTAATACCTTATATGTTAAGTAGTTATTTGTAAACCGCGGATGTGACTCGACGTTGATGGTGGCTAACGCGCTACCGTATAGCCTTTAGTGATGACTTATTGAGACGGCAGGTACTGCCTGAATGCTTTTGGGTTCTCTAGAAAATTTAGATTAGCATATTTTTCACAAAAAAAAGTGCAAAGAGTCGCCTTTTTACAAAAGGAGCCCGAGAAGTAATAAATGTAGCAATGATTAAATATTTGGGTGATTTTCTAAAACGCGCCTACCGTACCAAGCTATGTCCTCGATCAAAACTTCGAAAAGATCTGAGATATGCCACTTTAAGAGTAGTACGACAAGCTTTGCCAATCAAATTTAAATAAGAAATGTACCTACTGGGGTTGAGAAATAGGAATGTGTGGAATGTGTGTGGGGGTGCAAGAATCTGGGGAAAAAGATGTAAAAAGATTGTCCGAGGGACTTTTTTTCAAAATAGGAAGTTTTTGTCCATGCTAACATTGAAGATCCTAGTGACCTGTATGTACTTGCTTGCACTTAAGCTACAATATATTAAGCATCTTTTGGCCAGTCAATGTTAACCTTTATACCCTTAACCTTCTTGATTACGCTTCTAGCCAGCTTTTAGCTAATCCATGTCTACAACTATTCTCCTCCTTAATTACGCTTTTAGCTAATTAATATCAACCTTGACAACTTCAACAACTTCAACTATCTTGATTATGCCATTTGGTTAGCCAACCTCCCTCTATTAATTACCCTCTTTGGCTAGGTAATATCTTATGTAAGTTACTTCCATTTTAGTATCCCTCTGAACTGCCCATTCCTATTCCGGATTAGCGTTACCCATCGAGCCATGTTCCTGCTACCATGGAGGAAGGAGAAGGCATGCTCCTTCTCCAAATATGGAGTAGCTATGTCGTCGTTACTTCCCCTGCGGTGAGCACGAGACGCGAATCTCGACGCGAATCTCGACATGAGATGAGTACTCTCTCCCCAGAACACGCCATCGGTCGACGAATATAGACAATACCGGCTATATCTATCTCGTTATTCCCATCGGGGGCAAAGCCGGGCTTGAGGCCCTATGGTTTGAGCATCTTATTATTCGTTCCAAGTTGTCAATTCCTCACCTCATTAATATACTCTAATATGGCGTCAACCGTTGAGATGGTACACGAGAGTCTCCTGTCTGTGATCACAAATGTATTGCGAAAATGTGGCGCTTCTGATACGATATTGTACACTCCAGAACCCTTGCTCGGTTGTATCATCGAGATCGGCGTGCTTCTCGAAGACGAGCGTAAATGGTTCCCTCTCTGTAATCGGCTTCGATGGCCTTTAGGCAATGCGCCAGAAGTCGTGCGCATCTCACGCCCGACCGCTGGGGGCATGACGGTTCAAATGGACATCAGTCGTCGCTTAGTTAAGCCAGCCACCTCTCCCTCTGCTCATGGACCATTTCCCCTGTCAAGCCCGAATCGCGTGCAGACAGTTCGACTTAGACCCTATGCCATCGGAGATATTATTGAAGTGCCGCCGTCAGCATATCAGACTCTAGCATGGTATATACAATGGTCTCTCCGGCTGAATCCCTCAGATCTTTCCGATGCGGTATTTTGGCTCGAGGATTATGCAAATTCCACGAAGAAGAAGAATACTCTCACAATAGGAGAGTGCCAAATACGATGGCCGCTGCCGTATAGCGACAACATATTGTTCTTAAAGGTCAGCAAATGCCTGGGCAAGTTGGTCGAAACGAGTCTCCGGCAGAACCTCCGTCACATTGTGAATTCTTGGTATTCACCCTTGTGGAAGCAATGCGACCTCACCAACGTATCGATCGTCAGCCACGATTCGGTCAACACTTGGCCAATCATCTTCTACTTCGACCATCCACTCTTTTTCGCCAGGGCACCGTTTCAATCACCTTCATTTTTTCCCTGGTTCGCTAACCGTACCCTATACGACCAGGTTCACATATCGGAACTTCCCATCGCCTCTAAGAAGTTTTGCCATGTCGTTCTATTCAAGAAGATTCCTAGCCGGCTAGATGTGCAAGAGCTCTTAGTTGGCACGCGCACATTCTATTCCCTCCCTTATTCTGCGGAAGCCATCGTGACAGAGCCTTCATATCACAGTACCGGGTCGATCTTTGGGGGTACTGGCAAGTTCATAGACGAGATATGTAGGCAGGAGTTGGGTCCTTTGGTTAGGCAAGCTCTACAGCGCGGTCCTCGTCTTTGCGGCCAACTCAACCACGAAACGGTTCTTGTTCAGCAACCGCCCGGGGACGTCTGGCCAGATTCTCAGTACTCGATTGCAGCTCAGGAGAGATTCGAACTGTTCTAGAAAGACATTCGCATCTTCTTGGGCGCGGCAGACATTCCTGAAGCCGCCATCATGTTTCCGACGAAGCCAGTATTCGGCGCCTTGGCCCATATCAATGTGGAAGTAAATCAGCTTCAATGGGAAACCGCGCTCGGTAATCTACCTAAGGGACAAGACAAAGCACGTACAGTATATTCTCACTGGGTCGAGGACGAAGTGCTGTATGTTCGAACGGGGGAACTTGTATGGGACTCGAGTAGGCTGGATCGGCTCAGCGGATCCAAAGTCTGGGATTTGGCAAACGCTCCTGTTCTAGCAAACTTCGGCGGGCTACAACTAATGAAAGTCGAACGAAGTACCGGCCTCGACGCCTATCCTTCGCTCTCCCACTACCAAGACGTCGCCCTGTTACTTTCGTCTACCCTAAGGATTTCTGCAAAAGACGTTGAAGTGGCCCTCCTATGGCTTCGCGGTCTAGCATGGCATTACCCAGATTACCTCCCGACACACGAAAGCCCGCTGTTGAGAACGGTCTCCCGTTTCCTAAATACTTTGACTGACTCGGAGTCTTGGCAGGAGTTGGGGCGCCTCTTCGACGATTGGGCCCACCGAGGATGGGATCGAGCAAATATACTGAATAGGATGTATGATGGTCACTGGCCAGTCCTTTTCATGTACTACAACGTACCTACCGCTGCTAGGGCTGCGGCACATGGCAGGTCCTACTTCGTCGAGTTCGGGATTCTCCCAGTCCATGCGCAAGTTCATGTTCTCGATGAGCGCGTAGCTAGACATCGGCCTTGTCATTTATTAATATTCACGCAGCAACCGTCAGAGGAACTCGTCCTAGACGCCCTTAAACTAGTCAGTACCCACTTTGGATTCTCGCAGATACCAATCCATACCATCCCCGACTTGCAGATTAAGGAACCGTGGTTTCGTCCAGATGGAATGCTTCAAAGACGCATAGTGGACACGATACTCACACCGAAACTCATAATTGCTTTTTCACGACGACGAGGAAGCGACGTACCTATGTTTTCACCGTTGATGATCGATACATCCTTATCATGTGAGACACAAAAGTCCATCGTGATTCTGGCTCGATCATCCCAGGATGACTTCGCTGGGCCAGAGTCTCCAGCTCGACAGGCATGTTCGGTCTTGGCGGACCTACCAGAGGAATACACCACAATTGGGCCCCTTGACAAGATTTGGTTTGTGCTAGAATGGTGTTCATCCTCAAAACACCCAATCAGCGATAGGCGGATTTTTAAGTGTATTCCTAGGTCGAGCCCAATTCACCTACTTACAGTTAGTCCACATCGAGCGACGAGAAGGTGGGAAGAAATAAAGGTGGTTCAGGATTACGTAGCAAGCACCGGTGGGCGATGGTTAACGCAAAATCCTAGAAGACTTCTCCACAATGCCATTCCAGATGACGAGGGCCTGGATGGCGAAGATAACTTCGCATGGAAGGATATGGGTGATCAAGAGGCTCGAGGAATCATCGAAGACCACGTGAAACAGGGTTAGTGACCGTTGGTGGCTTCCCAATTCTCGCCCTCACATCCAAACACTTGCCCCTTTTCACGTCTACTTGCACACTTAACTTCGTGCGGTTTAAAATTCTAACAGGATTTTACTTATAGGTCGCGCAGTTTCACTAGAGATGGCATTCTATTCGAGAATTCGGGTAGCCCTTACCCGCGCTATCAATGCAAAGGACGGCTTTCAAATGGATTCACTCCGCCATGCCTTAACACAACTCTGTATTGATCGCAACATAGGTCGTGTCCTACTATGTGCGCGAACATCACCGAGCGGCGACAAGACCCGCACGTATACGGTAGATAATTCAGTTGCTCGTCAGATCGAGTTTCTTCGCAACGTCTTACCAGCGCACATTCCTACTGAGGAGTTCAAAGATGTGGGCGTATCTGCCTACCATGGTTCGTACATGGACCGATTCGAAAGCAGAGTCCGAGAATCCGATACCAATCTTCTAATCCTCGCCACTAGCCTAGATCGCTTGGTTCGGTCGGACGAGGTATTCGAACGGTTAATAAAGGCCATCTCAACAACAGAAATCGAGGGACACAGGCATGACGTTGTATCCTTCCTCTGGGACACAGAGACGCGCCCAGATATACAAGATGCCCTGATGTGCCCTGATACTATTCATGACGCTTATCGAAATTGGTCTGATACCTTACAATCTCAGTGCAAATGCACTGGAGGCAGCGAATTTCTTGTCCCCATTGTACAACCAATAATCTGGGCATCATCGGACCATATATCACCGACTATAGAAGCAATCGCAAAGCGTCATGTCGAAAAGGCCAAATCATTTGTAATTGCACTATCACTCTCATCACGTATCGGCAGACAGGACCTCGATATTCCCCAGCAGCTAGTACGAGATGATAGCGGCAGGGGCTTCACGCCATCGATGGCCTCGACATGGCAAAATTATATGTCCGAAAAATTAGACATTCCCAGAGATCAAGTGAATGTTATATATCTCCAGGGGAACGTTTCGTGGCTTTGCCACTGCAGTACGATAGAGGACCACGACCCAGGATGTGTGTGCCCTTGTGCAAACTGCCGTCTCCAGAAGGGGTGCTCTTGTACTAAAGGCAATTGCACCTGCGCTCCTCTATGCAACTGTGGTTGTTAGTATTGCCATACGTACCAGAAGAGACCCAACGATGACTCGGAGATAATGAACAAGACACAACTACAGAATTCCAAGAGACGAAGACTAAACGAAACAGATACTGTCGCGATACGAAAATGCCAAACCCCTGGTTGCGATCAGGATGCTCCCATAGATGGTGGTAGTGGGGTTTTTTGCCGACGCTGCCGTTCAACGTCACTACAAAATCGAAAATGCGCCATCATTAGCTGCGGAAATCCCGCCCCTCGGGGAGGCTTGGGAGGCATCTACTGTACCCCTCACGCCGTGGAGCTGGGAATCGAACTTGGGTCGTGGTGTCTATAAGTGATAGCGACTCAAGCTGCTGGTGCACTAGACTTGCGAATTTCAAATGAAAATTAGACTGGGAATATAAACATGAAAGGTAAGTAATGATGCGAATGTCATAATATTTTCCATCTCATCGAGCAAAACTGACATTTCGACAGGAGAGCGATAGTGGCGCATGCTGGGAAGAATATTACTATATAAATCGCTTTCAGCATCTAGCTTCACGTACATCTTCTTACATAGAACATAGCTTCTTATCTAACACGAACTGGGGACCGACATGGGACGCGATTTTGCTGGAGAATACATATGTTGATTTAGCTACGCCGCATACAGGCGTGACACATGTACTTAGCTAGATACGTTGATGTTGGTGGGTAATTCGTTGGCTCAAATATATGCTTCTACCAATACACTCTTAATATTATATCATGACGTGATGTTGGCGCGAAAAAAAGCAGGAGTTGTATTATCACATAGGTCTGCGCTAACATTTTCTTACGTCTCTTAACTCTCGAGGTAGTTTATAACAACGATCATCAATTATGCCATAACTTTATCTTACATCCATATCAGCGAGTTCAACAAGTCAATTAAAAGTTTGACCTAACTTGAGCCTGATTTGACCGGGTTTGGTTAGATTTTATTTTTGGCATATGCTTAAGGTTTACCTTAAAATATTATGTTAAATGCGAGTAAATTTTTTTATTTAAAATATATTCTTTGTTTTTTTATGTAAAACTTTTCCTGTTTTATATGATTATGTTTTTTTTTACCTTTGTATATATTTTTGGTTTGTTTTTATGTATATGTGTATGTGTAAGGCCATAAACCGACCGGGTTATCTTCGGTTCGATGCCCCGCACCTTCCAAAAACTGTTGACTTATAAATGGAAAGTGCGGAGCTACTTTCGCCTTCGGGCATTTGGTCAATTTGAAACGATACAGTAGGTGCACCTTCCACCCGCAGTAAAGTGTAAGAATGGACCCACACTAACAGCCCCACTGGAGAGTTAGTGTTAAAAAATTACCCGCGGGAGCTATGCTCAAATTGCTAACCGATTCTTAGAGAGTAAGTTTAAGTTCATATTCCGAAACGTTATAAGAATTATGTATTAACCGTATAATAGTTAGCATGGCCCCTGCACTAAGGATGACACGCTTAATCAAAGTGAGCTTCAGATTTTTTTTTGCCAAATTCTTTCCTACATTATACTCGAACGCTGTTTCCGCGCACATTTTTAGCTTTAACATTTTGTCTTTCCCATTATTTCCTCAAGTGCCAGTAGATACGGTAAAGTATCTTTTAATCTATTTAATTTATTTAAAAAGTTTACATTTTAATGCATATACTTAGACAATCATAGGACAACCCAGCAATGTTTAAAGTACCTCCTTCGAAAAAATCATCCTTAATACAGGGCCATGCTAACTGCAACACCATTAGCATTTATAGAATAGGTTTCTCGGATAGCATTCGTGCACGGGTTCAAGGAGAGAAACTAAAAGCTGGTAATGTCAAAAAGCCGTCGCCTAACCATCCAGCATCGGAAGTGTCTTTCTGAAAATTCGGGTGGAAAAATCTGTATCGTTTCAAATTGACCAAATGCCCAAAGGCAAAATTTTGTGCTATACTACCTCGAAGCTTCGCTTTGGGGTCTACGAAAGATGGATTGACAAGCGGTATTGGGCTAAGGGAATCCGCTAATCTTTAAATATGGGAAGGGTTCGAAAAAGCAGCAATGGCACAATCTCTATGAATAACACAACACAGGGAATAAGAAAGTTGCAGGCTTGGGGGCTTGGGATAGCAATACGAAGAAAAATGCACAGCAATATGTAGTCACCCGAAAATAATACGCTGAAAAAGCCCCCGTCTCAAGAGCAAGACTAGCAGAAACGGAGAAAACTCACTCAGATCTGGTCTTATAGACTGACAAACGGTCATAGATTCCGCCCAGTGAAGATTTCGACTCTTAACAATGACGAGGCTTTTAATAATAGGATTAGGGATGACCCGGGTGATTTATCGTATGGTAGAGAACCCCTTATTTTAACTCAAGTTAAGAATCCGTGACAAGGGAGTTATGGCTATCGACGACCCCAAGAAACTTCATGAAACGAGTGGCCTGATACTGCTGCTTTTCTAGACGATGTATGACCTTAGGTCTGTTTGGCTTCGACCCGCAGAAATAGTAGTTCGATGAATAAGGATGTTGTGTTCATAAAACTTTTTGAATAGAGCTATCTGTGCTATTTGGGTCACATTCTAGACACATAACTTTTGCTTCCTATTTCTATTTTAGGTTACAGAATTTTCTCCCTTAATTCTTTCCCGACTATTTGCCTTGAGTCCACTAGTAGTGTTGTGCCACTATAGAACTCGTAAGATGTATATACACCTTCATCTTTCTACTACGACAGTGTTCTCAAGACTAAGAAAATGGAACGATTGAGATGGTAGCCAGTCATGTGAAAGAATGAAACCAAAGCGGTCGCGTTGCCTAGCACATGAACCAACGCCTTCTACAGTTATTCGTAAGAGGTAGTATACCATTAGACACTTTCAATACTTGCTTTCGAAGGGAGGTGAGCATCATTGTTCCTCATTCTGAGCATAGATAAAATTCGCCGCTACGCGTTCATCAGCATTGCCGGTATCAACAGGATGATTTAGGATCGTATTGCTAAAATACTCACCAACGGGTTTGAGACCGTTCTTTCCTGCCCAATCTCTCACGCCGTGTCTCGCTTTACCCGTGCCCCAATGCTTTCTGTCCTCTGGCTTGGTCAGGTGAAGCGGGTCCGTAGTGCCGTTGGCGGGAGCGAATAATAGGAACACGTATCTGTGCTTTCCAGTCTTGGGTGGCGGGCCAGGAGGCTTGTACGGTATAATGTCCTTTAAGCTAGATAAACGGAGAGCAGCAGACTCCGATGACGAGATATCCACCCCCGTGGCGATGAAGTGGCAGAATTCGGACCACTCCGGATTATCGCGAGATGGAGCGTCCGGATCGGTAATGATGATTGTGTAGGTCACGCCGGAACGCTGCTCAGCCGACAACGATGAGGAGTGGCTCTGACGTACTGTGATGGTGGGTTCGTCTTGAACATCATCCACCTTCACGGCATTCCCTAGCTCCGTACGTTCTCCTGACGGCCATTCTGCGTCAAGGAGAAACGAGGGGAGAAATTTGTCGATGACTACCATTGGTTAGCCATATATTATATCTGTAAGTAGATATTTACCTGTTGGAACGATCTCTGCCTTTTTCAACCTGGTATTGACTTTGTTAGTTAGGTCCTACGTTGGCTGTTATCGGTATGCTGAGATGCACATACTCATGTTGGACCTTGTATACGTCTGAATCTAGCTGATGCTGTTCAGATGGAGCAATGATGATCTGCTCGGTAGGTTGATGTTTACCGGTCACAATTAAAGCTTCTAATAAGAAAAAGAGTATCCATGTGGGTAAATAGTTCAACATCTTCTCAGGTTTCAATCTTAATTTTTATTTCATTGGTAATAAACTTATTTAGAGTTCCGGGTTTTGAAGACATCTCTCCAATGCTTTTAATATCGAAGGTGATGTTGCTCCATCCCCGCATTAAATTGTCGTGATGTCACCCAACCTATCGAGGTAGGTAGAAAGTGACAATCCTTGTAATTACTATTAGCATGGCTATTAATATTATTTATTTTGAATTTCAAAGGCTTTGGCACGCTTAGAGACTTATCGTTCGGATATAGCAGCTGTAAGAGACTAGGTTACAGTGTTTATCTCCAAACTATTATCGGCAGAAAGCGTATTCAGTGAAGCCAAAAGGGTGTCAAATGGGAGATGTTGATGTTGTTTCACAATATACTTAATGTGAATAAAATCCTAGAACAACATATTATATAAAAGATGCTTATACGGCATATAATATAGATTTACGAATGCATTCGGAAATTATAAGAGATTATGACTTTGCTTTGAGTAGAGTATTTATCACGTGCCTCTCTATTTATACACTTGTTACCTGCATATGCATATAAATCTATAGGTACGTACCTAAGATACATCCAGACTGGACTCTTTCAATCTTGTGGCTCGGCCCCACGGTCCCCTCTTTTCAGGTGGGCTTGCGGCGCGTAAGTGAGATCCACATGCCATTCTGCTTGCAGGTATCAATTCTGGGTGTACAGTTGCGTCGCGTAAAATAGACCTGAGGTGCAAACTCCCAAATCGCGCCTAGAAATTTAATCCCCAAAATTACATACGTGCCTACCACAGCCATGTACAATCAACTTCACCTCACGTCACTCTATTAATTGCCGAATGTAGCTGTGCGCTTTTCTAAACGTCAACAATACCCACGACACATCCTGCCCAACTTATTTTTAGGTACTGACTATAATTAAACTCTACTTCTCTCATCGCTATGAAATATCTCATTCTGTCTGTACCTATCTTTAACTTCCCTTAACCCTAATTCTATCTGCCCTCCTCTCGCCTGCCGACGACACTGACCACACCGACCACACCGACCAACTTCCAATTTATTTCTACGCCTGCTTAAACATCCGTTGAATCTCCTGCGCATTTGTTAGCCGCATATATCCATTCTCGGCCATCAAAAAACTACGGTACGCTCATCGTCATGGTTTCATCAAGGAAGCGCGCCTTGCGCGATGCCGAACCGGAACCTGAGGCGCGAGGGCCTCCCAAGGAGCTATCTTTACTTCATCGCATCAGAAATACTTGGCAATTTGCCAACCTGTTCCAATGGATATACTTATTTGGCAAGGTTGTGAAGATAGACGATAATCTCGAGATAGATGTACGTGCTCCATGCCACACTTAATTTCAGCTGATAGTCTCTTCCCTATCGGTATCTTTAATATCGATCCGTAGCGCTAACACTTTGTCGTGATAGGATCTGGAGGCCGAGTTCCTAAAACCCCGTTCGACTGTTCTAGTTAACATTGGCCTTGCCTTACTCAAGTTTGTATCGTCGCATCGCGGCTTGACGTATGTCCCATCGCAGTACGCATTTCCAAAAAGATGTATTATTGACTCGTCTCTAAGGCCGGACCTCTTCGATGAATATACGCGGCGGCAATATGTCGCTAAGGCCGCCGATCGAAATCCGTTTGGTACCGCGGACGCTCCCGCCAAGTTCGACGACTTCGACGCTTTCACAAAGGTTTGTCGGTCGCATAGTAGACAATCATACAATACTAAATGTTTCTACGACAGATCAAAATATTGCAGCAGCTTACCCAATGGGTGATGTTGCATCCCGAAAGAATTCGAGAAAAGATGGATGAGCAGAAGCCAAGCGATCAAACCGAATGGGTACGAATATTTCTCCCGAGATCTTCTGATAAAGAAGCGCTAATATTGTATCAGAGAATTGAACCCTCTGGCTGGGATAGCGAGGATCGCATTTATTATATCCTAGACGATAACCGAATATACCGCATGACAGAAGCCCCGCCGACCCCTGCGCCCTGGAAACCCAAGAAAAATACCAAAAAGGCCAAAGCAGCAGCAAGAGCTGCCAAACGACGACGCGTATCAAGATCCGCAGCGCAAAACGGTGGCGATGATGACGACGACTCTGCTTCCGACGGGGATCAACCTGCCGAACCAGAGGATGACGGTCTAGGGGGTGCGAAGTGGGAGTGCATTGCAGCGAGCCTCACAGAAGTGCAGGAATTCCTTAATACCATTCGAAAGACCCGTGACGACAATGAAAAGGTCCTAAGGAGTACTATCGAGAATCACCTTCTACCTATTTTAGAGAAGCAAGAGGAATCTCGGAAGCGGAAAGCCCTGCAGAGGGAGAAGGAACTTCTCAATCTCGAAAAGATGGCACACGCCAAACGTTCGAGCCGCCTTGCTAATAAGGCCGAACAACAACGATTGGAGCAGCAGGTTAAAGAAGAGGAACAGAAACGCCGAGCAGAAGAGGTGACGACTCGAAAGGAGCAACAAAAACGTATAAAAATGGAGAAAGCGCGCGACAACCGCATGATGTCTCGGGAGCAACGACTTCGAGAACGGGAGGTCCGACGGCTACAGCACGAAGAAGAATTAGCCCAACTATCTGAGGACAGTAGAAACCTAAGCACTGGGACCGGTCGTTTATCTGAGAGACGGTTGAAAGCGGAAATCGAGAAGAACAGGCAAGCCCTGCAGGAGCTTGAGGAGGAAGAGGATGACTGGATTTTTGACTGTGTCTGTGGCGTCTACGGCCAGGTCGATGATGGCACACACAGTATTGCATGCGAGAGATGCAATGTCTGGCTGCATAGCAAATGCGTTGGCATTAGCGAGGAAGAAGCCGATCGCGATGATTTTCATTTTATCTGCAAGAGTTGCCGCCGAAAGAGTTCAACGCCAAAGTCCGCTACGGTCATCAAATTAAAGGTTAATCAACAAGATGCTTCATCTTCACCTCCTATTACAAAGTCGGACGGCTCGCCTACTCCAGACCGTGCTCGACTCACCCAACGCTCTGGCGTTGCAGTCGAGATACCGGCAAGGCTTAACAGTACGCAGCTCACTACTCAGCCATTGATCCCCATAAAGCAGGCAGGTCAACCTAACGCCCCTCCTCCATCTTCACCCTTCACTAATGGTGATGGGCTTCATCCATTCTCCTCGCCGCACCCAAATTTATCACCTCCAGAGCAGTCACCCAATAAAGCAAGGGCCTATTCAACCATGTTCAATGCGTCGCCAATCTCTGGAAGTCGTTCCGGGGATGTAAGGGTGCCACAAAAGGGTGTGTTCCGCGTGTCACCAAAAGCTAATGGCGTACCTCAATCCGCACAGTCGAGCAATCTTCCGCCTCATGCGGATGCCTCTATACCTCCCGTGGCCGCCAGATCTGATTCGCCTTTGAAGCAGCCTTTTGATGCCGCAAGCAGTAGCCTGGCAGCTCTTTCGCCATCTGTATCATTCTCCGCTTTGGCACGCCCTTCGAGCAGTGATGTCAACGCTCAACAGGCAGTGCTTTCTACTCCACAGCTTAAGAAGTTTGACCATGCAGGAGCACGGCTTGACGCAACACCTAGTCTGCCGCCGATCCAAAACGGGATCTCGCCCCTAAAACGCTCGCCGCCTCCGCACCAGCAATCGGGCAATGGCTTATTTTCGACCCCGGCACCTTCGATTCTCCCCCCAGTGACGGCCCTGTCTCCTTCACCTTCACAGCAAATACTGACGCCTCCTGTCAAACCTTCCGACCCTATACGGCCGGCATCACAGACACCAGGTGGTATCACTAGGGATGAATAGTCAGAAACGTCTTGGGATAATGGCTTATCTGGCCAGCCAACTAGACTGTTACAGGTCACCGAGAGTAGACCAATCTGTCATATAGTCTAGACTGGTCATATTTTCAGCGCAATTTCTTTAGCACCGCAAGTTCGACTACGTCCTAATTAAGATGGGATACAGGTCTCATATATGCGCCCAATTCTAGCATTGATATTAGTTAGGCAACCTTCTTTAGCATACGGGTGCAAAGGTGGGTAAGCTTAGGTGTTCTAGTAATGTCGATCTCTTCCCCGTGGAATGGGAAAGGGATGCGTCCGCAAACCCGTTGGAAGCATGTAGGAGTAGGGGTTTCCGATTGGTTTAGACGGTTGATGCATTTTACGGCGTAGGAGACAGGTAAACCAAACCTGAAATGTAAACTAGAAGGGAAACGTTATAATACGTTGTTTTTGCATGCATTGACGCACAACTGGCGCCGGCAGTTTTTGTAGCGCAACATTAAGGAGAATACATAATCCAATTCAAAGATGGCCGTGAGATATTATGAGGGACCCATTTTAACGTGCGTACATGTATGTATCTATTCCGTACCTCTTAGGTAATGTACCTACCTACATTTATGTAGGTTAAGTCGCGACGCCTTACCGCTCATTGGAAGCCTCTTTCCCTACGGTAATTTCTTCTTAGGGGTCGCTCCTTTTCTAAATCGTCGTGTTAATAAAACAAAACGCAAACTCGTCACTTTTCATCTCAATTGGCATCCTGCTGCAATATGTATCTACGTCTCCTACGCAGGGTACTAGGTACTAAGTACCTACCTAGGTAGGTAAACAAACCATTCAGCGTACCAATAACAGACATATCACTTGCACTTCAGTGTATCATTCTATTTCGTCTCCCCATCTACTTCTTACTTGTCATCTTCTATCGTAGTATTTCTCATCTTAATGTCTAAAGCAAAGCTCTCCCAGTGGTAGACAACTACACCGACTCCACGTTTCTCTCCTCGGTAAGCTGCAGATTGCATACATAGATGCACAGCAGTTCGCAGCCCGGGCGGGTCTAGGCATCCTACTAGACAGGGCATATTTTCCAGAGCCTAGGATGAGCTGGCCAGTCCTGCATCTGTCAAGGCTTAGGGGAGAGCCCAACCTAATCAACCCCAGACTTCTGGTAGCTATTATTGGGTAATGCGCCATGCCGTCGAAGTTGAGCTGTCACACAAGTCCCGAATGTTCGCACGAACTGTTGGCCAGAGCGCTGAGACAGTATAAGAGCAGACTGGTGCATGCAGAAACGCTATTGCCAATTGGCAACGCAGAAGCAAGTTGGATGGTGCGCGCTTGCTCGTATGCTTCTAAGTGCCATTAGTCAAGCAAGCAAGCGAACGAACAACGCAAGACGAAGGAGTCATACATGCTTAATATCGGTATTACTAGTATCGAATTAAGTATTATAGTATGGAGATGTTGAAGGTGAGGGGACAGCTCAACTAGGTTCTTTCTAACAGTTTCATTGTTATAGCCCTACACATCCGGGTTACGAGCAAGACAGTACATAGCAAGGGAGAAAAAAAGAGACCCGGGAAGAGCTAACTGCGTGATGACCTCAAAGACAGACCCCGAGTCCAAAAGGGACGAAAGAAAAGAAGAGAATACAAGCCGGTCTTTCAAGCAAGTGGCTAGCTAGTATATATGTATGGGCGCATACGCGATGCTGCACATTAGCATCCTTCCACTATGATGCCTATCCATTTCTTACATACGTCTCTTCGAAGGAAGATGATGATTATGTTTCCTTAAGCCATGGTATTTCTTTTCTTTCAATATTCTCTCGATACGACTGAGACTACTGCTTTTACTAAAACAATTTACCTTCCTATCCGTCAACATAAATGTACGTCAATTTTTAGTTGCTGGGCTTTCCCCCTTTTAGCACTACTGGGGTCGAGGTTCAAACAGTCTGCGGAGCTAGTGCAAATACCCGTCGCACGGTACAGGGATGCGGCTGCAAACAAATGCCCAGGCACGATCTGATCTGCCAGCCATACATGCTCATCACTAGGAAGGGCAGCACTAGCAGCCGATGAGTACTGCATTCAACGTCCATATTGCAGATTAACGGGACTAATCAACAGTTAGTAGGTCCCTCTTGCTTGGCTACGGAGCTTGTGCCGAGATTAGCCCACCCCCAGGATAAAGGGGTCGGCCTATAGAGCTATGAAGACACTACATGTTGAGAGCTCGGAGATGTCCTCTTCACTCTACTCTCTCTCTCTGGCGCAGTTATTAAGACCTATTTAGTGGCTAGTAGCAACGCGTCATGGCCATCTTAGCCGGCCGCTTGTACGCCGCGATCTGGCTAGGCAAAAGGGGATACGGTGAAGAGGGGAAGAAAGAATCCAGTGCCAGTCTGTCTGCATTGGGTTAATTTCTTCAGCAAATTCTCAAAGGAATGTTGGGGTATGCGCGCCACTGGAGAATTTAGCTGTGGGAGACACGTTTTCGGGACTTATACAGGAACCAACATTCCAGTCCCTCACATCGGCCAAGAGTAGCTACGACGGTACCCAGTGATGGCGAACCTTCAGAAATTCTTGTCAAAGCACTACCAAAAGCAACTCGTAGTGGGCAACTGGAAGATGTTTCCCCCTGGTCGTATTAAGGATGTGGCAAAAAAAATAGGTTGCTCGGGGATCAAGTTCATTCAACTCCCCGGTCCCTCATGCAGCATATCTCATGCAATCTTGCATGTAGTGTGTTAGCCCAGGATCTGCGGCCATCGGTATCATGTGGGTACAACATGCTATCTTTTTTTTTGCATATGTCTTACCCTAGCGGGCAATAGTTGAGTGGGAGTCCATCGCTATCGGCGTTAATAGGTGTAAGAGCATATGTGAAAGCGAGAAAGGGAGAGAGAACTAGGTATAGGTTACATTTCATCTACGCTAGGAAGCGTGGCACTAACAATACCAGTTGCTCACTCTCTCGCTCTCTACCGGCCCGGAATGTTCGGTGCCCAGCATAAGTATAGTTCCTAGATTCTCTCCCTTTTGCCCCCGAACACGGCTAGGGCTATCATAGCTCCGTAAGTGATCTAGAGTAATTTTCTAGGCCAGCACACGTTGTACAATGCCTCGCATTTTTCCCTCTTGCGTTCCGAAAGCGGTAATGCGCAACCTTGCGGCCGCATTCTACCTTCCGAAGAAAGCCGCCATACAAATAACTATAGCCCCAAGAATACTGCTTTGAAAGGGAAGTTTAGAAAGATGTTTCTTTTTGTTGTTGCTTGTTACCTATCGCTGCTTTTCGTCGTTAGTGCTGGGTCAACAAAGGCGGCATCTAGCAGTAGTTCTCTATCTAGTCCTTTCCACTTATCCATCTACACATGCAGCTTCTAGTCGTGCTATACAACTTGTTGGGCTGATAGGGATAGGGAAGGATGCTTATACAGTCGGCCGGCAATAATCGATAACTTTACATATTCGATACTTAGATCGGTTTCTACGCGCCCCATCAATTTATCTGGCTCAAGGAACCGGGATTCATCCTAAGAGGACAGTCACATCGATAGCTAGCCTTACGGAGATACTAGTTCCTGCTACTTCTGCGGCACGTGGGTAGCTGAAATTCCTTTGGCGAGGGAGTGGGAACAAAGAAATAAAGGAAGCTCGTGCGGACCATAGGCCGGGGAGGCTGCGTCAATCAGTAACTCGTTGTGCCTACCTATTGCACTGTACCCACTAAGAAAGGGGTGTGAACTCATCAATCAATCACATAATTCACCCCTCGGAGAGAGAAGCCTTACACATATCTCTCTATCCCAAGACTCTGGTTCAGCTTCTACCATCGGCCTCCCAGATTAAACAACGAGACAAAGTGAAGAAGCACGCACATATAAGCAGTAGCGAGAGAAAAGAGAGGCCTCGTCGCGGCGCTGCTAAAGCAAGGATATTACAGACAGCTCAACATACCATCAGGCAGATATCATGCAATAGGTACGTTCTTCTGGGCCTCTATGCTTCGTCTTTCTCCCCTCTCCTGCTCACATGACCGAATGCGGCTGCATGCCCCCTTCCCTTGCAGTGTCACGACCAGAGACAAACCTGGTTTCTGATAGATCTATGCCTGCGGCTGCAGTCTACACTAGCACTAAGCCGCGTAGCCTATGTTGTCTGGACGCACACACTGCTTCTCCAGCTGCAGAAAGATACAGCTTGATATCCCATATGTGGCGAAGCAAGAAGGCAATACAGGCAACTAGAATTGAAGACTTACTTACCCATTTACAGACCGAGAAAGTCCAGATGAAAGCTCCGGCATATTTGTAGTTGGAACAACCTCAAAAGTGGTAACCCGAACCAGTTGCCCGATACATCTTCGATATTATTCCAGGATATCTGAATCAATAAGATACTGATTTCTGCTTTGAGACGTCTTCTTCCTTGCCTCCTTGCTGTATATGTCTCTCGACCTTACTCACACTATTTGATCTCATCCGCGGCCTTATCACGCCCACAACGCTCTAAGTTAAGGCGTTTCCAGGTAGCTACGAACCAACTATCAGAGACATATCCGAATAGACAAGTTAGAGACTGGCTGCCAATTTACGTCACGGTAGAGCTGGTGGATACCATACACAGACACGGAGACGCTGCGTACTATTACCTCCTTGTACCTACATTCATCTTATCGGTCTTTCTAGTTCGCCACTCATATCCAAAGATAATCGCCATAATCATCAGTACTGCGTCCAAGTTGACAGACTTGGGGTATTGGTGAGTGAACGTAATATTTATCACTCACCAACCTTTTATCTGATAATAGTTAAGCGAGAGTCTGGCTGGTTGTTGGCCGTTCGCTAAGAGGAAGGAATAGAACCGACAACTAGTTGACAAGAAGACGTCCTCTAGTTTCCTTTACACGCGGGCGTACGTTGTCTGTATCCTTGCTCAGGGGAAACCCCGCGGCTCTCTGAAAGTGGCCTCCTTATTTATCTTCAATCTTGATGGTAATCCATCTTTCCTCAATATTTACTACAGTTTCTCTCTGTCCGCCTCAGACATCAATTTCAACGACCTACTCCGGCCTGCCGCCTAATAGTGTAGTAGAAAATAACCTATGATATGGAGAAAGCCGGTCCGTTATCGCCAGCCCCCTCAAACAATAATAATCCCCCTTCCTCTACAACCGCCGACGACGTCCTCCAAAATCAATTCCAACAGCTTATCCAGCATAATGCGACAGCGTCGTCTGTCGAGGTGCACGGCCAGATAAATTCAAAACCACCCTCACGATATTCAAGCCCGGCCCCGGCTCCGGTACCGCAGCAGCAGCAGCAGCAGCAGCAGCAGCAGCAGATGGCCATGCCCATATACGACCACGTCATTACGTACAGTAGCGGATATCAGCAACAGAATTATCAGATGGAGCCAAGCCCGTATCCTCAATTGCCCGATACAAGCTCATCGTTGGTACGTTATTATTAGAAATAAAGGACATTGATCAGCTTCAATAGACGAACAATAAACTTGATTTCCTTTTGTTCTTTATTGTTCATCTTCTTCAGAGATCAATCTTTACTAATATTTTCTTATAAAAGACCCCTCATAATGCTTATAGTACTCCTGCGACCTCACCACCAACCCCTTTACAAACAGACAGTATTAGAACAAGAAGCGGCCGAGCTATAAACCGGACGCGCGAAGGGACACCGATGACGAATTCTCGAGGTCTCAAGAGGCAATCCCCCATGTCCGGGGGAGAGAGCATAGGCGCAGGCGCCAAGAAGAAGAAGAAGACCAAGGGGCAGTCAGATGAGCCGCCAGTAGTACTAGACGCGCCTCTAAGTGTACTAGTAAAAGATATTACGAGAGTGCAGGACACTAATATTGAGGAATACGTAAACCGAGGCGCGGAGGTGCGGCAAAGGGAGGTAAGGGAGTCGAAAGATGGCAAGGTGAAGCGTCCGATGAACGCCTTTATGCTTTATCGGAAATCTTACCAAAATCGAGCCAAGGAATGGAGAAAGCACGATAACCACCAGGTCATCTCACGGATCTGCGGTGTAAGCTGGGCTATGGAGCCACCGACTCTGAAAGAGCAATTCGACACCTATTCCAAGATTGAACGGTCGAATCACGGCATTGCTTTCCCTGATTATAAGTTCGCGCCAGCTAAGGCTAAGAACAGGAAGACCAGCAGTAGAAGCACTACAGTCAACGAGTCGGAAGACGATGGGTCTGACCTGGATGGTTACCACTGGGATACCGCCCCGCCGTCGAGAAGTTCCTCAAGACCGATATACGATCCAGATGGTGAATACCGACCATCAGGGATGAGAACAGGGTATCAGACGTACCAGTCACCAGTCATGCATCAACAGCGACTGCCACATCCATCACACCCGTCCTCGTTTCATCACTCGAACCCAGGCAAGCCTCGGCCAGCCGAGTACGGGGTTGGGCTTGGACCGAGCCAGTACTATCAGCAGACGAGCGACTACATGCGCCCAACTTACCCACATCACATGTCGCCGTACGGCAACCAAATGCAGGGACACATTACCCCCTTTGTCGAGAACGTCTACATGAACAAGGCGAACTCGCCCGCGGGGTCATATCATAGCTCCCCTATTGACCACTACGGCAATATGATGGGATCCGCGTACCCGCCACCACCTCATCCGCACCAGCGTGTCAACGAGCACCCTATAGACCCGTCACTCATGAGCCAACCAGGTAGCGAGCACTTCGACGCGCTCGGTATCCTCGGACTAGGAGGCCAAGGTGAGGGGCTCCAATCTCACTACACGCTAGATCAGGGAAACCTAGGCGGACACATAAGCGAACACATAAGCGACGAGCAGCACCACCACCAGCAGTTTGAACAGGCTTTCCATCATCCTAGTCACACCGTAGTCGAGGAACGGCCATCGTGGCACGACGACGTGCCGAAGCTGGCGGAGGGCGAGTGGGAGACGCTGGCCGCGGGTACTGACTTCGACATCGACGGTATTCTGGGGACGACGGAAAGCCCTGGGGGTTAATATCCCTGGACAGACGTGAAGATCAAAGACGGAGATGATAGATAAAGTGAGAAATAAGTAAAACGAAATAAAAAGGATCGGGAACGGGAACGGGAACGGGAACGGGAACGGGAACGCAAAAGATTTTGCGTTCGGAGTTGGGAATAGACACACACTTTTATGTATTTAAATTTGACCTTCTTTCTTTTCTCTCTCTCATCATGTTTTACCACCGGGGCTATTGTGCCTTGGCTTACCTGTACGTTTCTCCACACGCTTGTGTGTGCTGTGTTTATGTGTTGTTTGTTTGTTTGTGTGTGTGTGTGTATGTGTGTGTCGGGTTATCCGCGCTCAGAGCAGTAGTTTGGCGGCATCATCATCGTTTCGTGGACATAGACTTGGGCGGCTTGGCTGAAGTGGTGATGATGATGATGATACCCCCCCTCCCCCCCCTTTCTCCGTGGCCTGGAGGTTAGTTGGAGATCTAGAATGGATGGACATCAAGTCAGACTAGTCAAATTAAGTTAGTTATTCAGACAGACAGACAGACAGACAGACATACGAAGCCGCATCAGATTTTGTTTTTTGGGGGGTTTTCAAGACGGCTGTGTGCTTTTAGTAGTTTTTGGAGTAAGGATGATGGACTTTGAGGATTAAGATTAGTAGAATGAAAATGAAAATGAAAATTACTGCATAAATGTACCTGATGTATGAGGGATGAGGGTAGCTAAGCTGTCATTGTTTTAGTTTCCCGAGTTAGAAGTTAGGAATAGAAACGAGAATGTTCACCAGGAGCCAAGAAAAAAAAGTAGAGTAGAACAGAGCAGAGCAAAGCAGAGGGACGATCGTATATATCAATCCCCTCCGCCCATCTCTTTTGTCCCCGCCCATATATATGTATAAGAAGAACCTACGTGGCCCTCTCTCTATTCGACACCCTCCACCCTCCACCCTCCACCAGCCGCCCTTTTTCATTGTGCAAGTGAAATACCGGGCCCAAGTCAATAATAAAACGGTCGAGCCCCGTCTCCCGCGCGGGGACAAAGGAATGTTTAGCCTCAACTTACCGGCGGGCCTTGAAAGGGAATTAATATCCGTCGAAACAGACAGAACTATATACCGCGGGAACGGCAAATAAAGAATTTGGAGAATGGTAAGGGATGTGGTTTATTCGTTTTTCTAAATGTTACAGCTCATCCTTGGGTCTTTCTTCGCTGCTGGAGGACTGGGGGCCAGTGGGCTCTTCTACTTTTACTTCTACTTCCATCACGCGTTTCTTCGGATTAGGGGGTTCGTCATCGTTGCGCTCCCTTAGCACGGTTTCTTCCTTTTCTTTCCCCTCTGCCTGCGTATCATTTTCTGCTTCCGCTCCAGGGGGTTCTTCTTCCGCCGTTTCGTTATTAATAATCCTATCAACTTCCTCCATGATAGCCTCTGTGCTCTCGCGTGACAGCTCCGATTGATAACTGACTTGCGCCGTCTGGACCCCTTCGTTGTTCATGTGTACCTGCGGCGACCTGGATTGCGTTGTAGACGCGTCGAGGTCGTGACTTGATACTTGTGCGTTTCGCCGGGAGACCGTATTCGATACGCCAACTGCGCCCTTAAATATGAGCTTTAAGGGGAGCCAGACGAGCCACCACGTCGGACCCCAGAGCAGACGCCGGAATATCAACCACCCGATAGTGACGACTAATATATAAAAAGCCGACTGCAAATACCAAGTATCAGTCTTCTGGCTCTTGAGCAGCGTACCCAGCAGCGCTCTCGAGTTCGACAGCATGGTATCCAGACTCGAGTAATTCTCCGACAGCTGCGACAGCGCGGCCGTCGACTCCTTCAGCGCATTATGCGCGAAGTCGCTCTTGGACAGCTCGGCGGCCATCATATCATGAGTCCTGCGCATCGACTCCGTCACGTCGCTGCTGGCGCTGAGCATCTGCTCCTCCTTGGACATCTCGGCGCGAGCGCGCGGTTTCCGTCGGCTGGGCGGTAGCAACGTAGCTGATTCCGGGGGTAAGGGGGACGAGGCGCCGGATCGGGGGCTCGAAAAGGAGGCGTAGAGAAGCTCGCGCTCTTGGCGCTGGGCTAATTGCAGGTTGCGCTTCGCTGAGACTTGGGCTCTCCTAAAAGCCTTTCGACAACTATGACGAGTTAGATTAAATACCTAGATAATTTCGTAAATATAACTTGTGTATAATTCCCCTCACGTACTTCTGCAGCTCCTCCTCAAGCCGGGTTGCGCCGTCTTTCAGTCTATCTTTGTCGTGTTGTAAACCGCCCCCTGGCTTTCCTGGGTGGATATCTATTATTTCCTCGTGCAGCAACTCGAGCTCCTCCTCCTGTTCGCGCAGTATCTGGTTGATTTCCGAACTAAGTTCAGACCCGACATTGTCGTCATCGCTTGCGCCGAGGGGCACAGAACCGGGTTGGAACTTGAAGTTGGCCAGGCGGTCGATCAGCACCTTGAGCTGGTTAGTCGCATCTTGCAGGAGCGCAAGACGGTCTTGTAGATCAATGAATCTCTTCTCTAGAGCTTCGGGAGACATGTTGCTGTTGAATAAATCGAGCCGAAGCTCTTTATAGGGATATTTTCGTGGCCCTGTTCATAAAGGTGAAGTGTGGATGTATGAGAGATCTGTAGGTTAATAGGTAAGGGTACTTATACGGGATTATTTATTGTTAACGGTGACGTTGCAGGTTCCGTCGAATTGGAAGCTTTGGCCTGGCTAGTGTAAGTGATGCACAGCCACACCCCCTGCATCTCGTTCTTTAGGTCCGCCATCCCCGCTCATCCCACCTTATCAACACCAGCCACACCTCGAATTGCTCCAGAAAATCTTCGGAAGCTTTATCGTACGTCGTGAATCTCTTATAACTAGCACCGGAGGGACGAGCCAACTCGATGCACAGGTAAGCAACACGAATGAATTCAAACTGAAATATACAGTTAGATACATAGATATACTAATAAATATACATACAAGTAGACAGCCGGCACAATGATCACGCGCTTCATCACCGAGGTGAACACCAAGTTCAACCCCTTCTCCATGCGCTCGCGGGCCACGAGGCTATTCCTCAGCGTTCTCCCTCCCAATGCGCGCCAGAACGGCATGCAGATAAACACTACTATCTTACCGCGAACATCCACTTTACCAGCTACCCTAAGTGTCAAATTCAGTACGTCCAGTCCCAACGACAGCGTTAGGCACTTATTATTCGGGCTGTGCTAACTACTTGTTTAAGAGGATGGGAAGGAGATGATCTTGGATGGCGAGCAGTTGGGTATCAAGGGCATAATCGAAGAAGTCGATAGACATTCGCGAGCCTTGCAGAAACAGTCAGACTTAACAGATGGTTAATGGAACGAAATTATTCTTATAATTTATCCCTCGACTTAATAATCATTGGCCGGCGTTTTGCTCGGATTACTGGCACGGGAGCACTCTCCAACTATAAAGGCATTTATCATTGCACATGGATGTCATTGCATTTGTCATTTATGGAATCGCAAACATGTCAGGGCAACGAATAGAAGAGCCGATTGGGTAAATTCGATGCCCATTTTACGAATGACCATTTATTCATCCTAAGCCAGCGCATGCGGTCGAAGCATGTCAGACAGATATGCTACCAAACAGAGCTCTTTTCTAAGATTTAAGCCCATCAGCGCGCCAAACTTTTCTCTACCGGACCCAAGGACATCCAGCCTACGCGGCAGCACCGCTGATGAAAAACCACTTGTCGATCGAGCTGTCGATCTTCTCGGGCGCGAGTTCCTCATTGGGGGGCAGGGGAGGCAGCTGCTCAGGTTCGACGCGGCTCGGCGAGTGGGACACGGTCAGGTTGGTCGTAGAGATGCCGCCGGGCTGCGTCTTGCCGGTGATCAATCGTTCCCAAGCCTCACCGCATTCGCGAATGACATCTAGGGCGTAACTACGTGCTTCGTTAGCAGTGAATCAAGTATAAAAATATAAAAATAGGGGTAACACTCACGCCTTGTTCTTGCATTCACCAGTGAAGGCGAACTGGTTCTCGGGCTTTCCATCGGGGATCTTGTAGATACGGAACCACTCGTTGGTAGCGCGGAGGAGACCGGGGAGGTGTCGCTCAACATCCTCGACGTCGTTTAGCTTGGAAGCTAAGGGGTCGTTAATGTCGACAACGATGACCTTCCAGTCGGTCTCTTCCTCGTCGAGCAGAGCCATAACACCGAGGACCTTGACCTGCTTGACCTGTCCCACGTAGCCAACCAGCTCGCCGATCTCGCAGACGTCGAGTGGGTCATTATCACCCTTAGCCTTGGTTTCCGGGTGAATGGAGTTGGGGTCTTCCCAGGTCTATGTAAGGTACACACCGTCTTAGTAAGTATATCAAGCAAACACGCAAGGGATACACAACGACGTGGACGTGGAATGTATTACCTGAGGGAAAGCACCGTAGTTCCAGAGATATCCCTTGTGGGGGAAGCAGTTGCGGACGTATCGTAGCTTGCCCTTCTTGATGTCCTGCTTGATGGGGTTCAGGAGTTCGTCCTTGGAAATCTAGTAGAAGAAAGGCCCTAGTTAGTAAAACAAGCTGCGCCAATACGTTAGGGCTATCCTGGTATGGTGCATACCTCAAGCTTGGCATTGGTCCATCGGGGAATCTCAACGATCATGTTCAGGATGGTCTGCTCCGCGTTGGCAAAGAGAGGAATGTCGTGGAAAGGAGAGACGGGAACGCCATCCTTCTCGACGTAGACTCGGTGCTCCAAGGTGTTGGGAGCACCGATCTTGCGGACGCCATAAGACGAAGCCATTGCAGACGTAGATCCTGAATTACCCGAGGTCTGGTCGACGGTCGATGAAGTAGAGCCCTTGAGGTGTTGGGCAAGTTGAGTAGTACGACGAGACGCAATCTTGGAGGTTGGGCCTTTAGGAGTTGAAGGAGTTGAAGAAATAGGAGAAGGTCCAATATGTGGGTTTGGGTTTGGGTTTAGATGGCGAAAGTTAGAATTGGTTAGGGGCAAGTGGTCAGAGGTGGCAGAAGAAGAAGGAGGGGGAGGGGTCGAAGACGTGTTGCTGCAGTGGACCGCCAGCTTGGTCGATGGGATGACGTGATTGGCCTGATAATTCCGTTGTATTACTAGTCGTCCAAGTTGTTGCCGTTTGTGTGGATAACGTGGATAACGTGGATAACGTGGATAACGATAAGTGAGCAATCTTTTCTCTAAAGAAAAAGTCTGCTGGCTAACTCTTGGTAATAACAACATAGGGGATAGCCTTATTAAAAAGGAAAAAAAAGGCAAAATAGAAAGGGATGAGGGTTAAAAAGGGTTAGATAAATTACAGAATGACCACGAATAAACAATAAAACAGTTGGCTATTATCCACAAGACGAGCCGAACTTGGCTGCTTTCCTTTTTACCGCTTCTTTACCTTTACCGTGGTTGCTTAAACAAGTGCACGATTAGATTAAAACTAACCTAGGTCAACATTTTACTCTGGTCATTCTATATCCCCGAAAGACTTACTATGCGAGCCACAAAATCGGTCCGGTCAAGTGTGGCTCGAACACGGACTTTATTGCCCAATTAGGGATATCTTACTAGCCACAGCTCCCCGCCGGTCGCATCTTACATAGTTCTGATGATCTGTCTAACAAACCTACGTCATCCCAACTTCGACGTATCAATATGCAAACAGCCAGTTCTAAACTGCCTCTCACGCAAACCTGTGCATCGCTTGCTTGAGGAACATAAAGCTTTAATTACGAGCGGACACATACCTAATATGAGAATTGAGCTGTCACTAGTCAACTCTTCTTAAAGGTGCCTATATACTTTGTAAATGGTTGATCCCGTATAAACCTCTTTGAGATATGACACGTAAAGCTGTGTGCTACCATTAGAGCAAACATCGTCAACCCCTCTCGGAAGAAGACTAAGAGCGTCGGTCATATATTGTTATGACTTTCGGGGCAGAAGTTGACTTACATAGGTAGGCAACTCGAGTCTCTGAACTCTAGGAAGATATTGTTAAAGGACCTCTACCTTGGTTAATCAAAGCTATTGGTTATATCCCTGGTCCACCAAAACACTTATGACAAAGGGCCTCTAGTTATATCAGAAGCCTGGCCTAGGTAGTTTGAGCTATGCTGATAGCTTCCTCTGTTAAAATATAACTGTGCTCTCACTTACATACTACTCGCATTCTCACACATGATCTTGCAGTGTGTTTAGCCAACTAGAAAGCCATAGCTCGAAACCCGAAGTTTTAGTGAATTAGTGAATAGATCGATCCCGTGTTGCTAGCGATTAGGTTTAGTCTAGTTAATATTATTCGACTCTTCCTCGCGTAGATATCACATTGCAACGTGTCGTGGATGGTGTTTTCCAACCTGGAATGAGGTTTAAAAGATCGATTTTTAGATGATACTGTGCTAGAGCTGAAGTGGCGCCAGGTCGGCTTGTACCCGAAATTAGTTGTCACGGCCAGCCCCGTCGCCTGTCATCGGGTACTCGCAGAACCGGGCTACAGCAATAAAGGTACTGCCTACAGGTAAGTAGCTTCTGATTTGAGAAGCTCTCCCGGTCCTTGCAGACTTGAAATGAGGCTGTATCGATACCGTTACCTCCCCAATTACGTTGGATGCATATGCTCGCTCAATGTCCAGAGCGCGCCAGAAGAACCAGGACACGTTTATGTCAGGCTCGTCATCTCAAGTAAACCGGGCTATTTCTAGGATCAGTTCTCAGTGGGATTTAGCTCGGACGTAGTAGGAATACTTACTTCGCGTGGGATCTAGGTAGCCATGGGTCCAAAGGAGGCAGAGGAGACTCGTATCGGCTTGGATGCGGCAGGAATGCTACGAGATCCATTCCTGAAAACTGTTCGAGCTCTCCGGCGTCGAGACAAATATCATACTCAACCTTCCTCGATTAGATGAAGGTAGGTTTGGAAACCTAGCTACCATGTGTGATGGTATTGTCAGAATAGATCCCCCGCGCGACTAAATAGGAAAATACAGCTCCGAAGACGATGCCTTCAGATAACGAGAACTAGACACTTACCGGACTGCTCATGCCATCCTTTCAAGATGGAGAACATGGTCATTGTTGACCGTACTACTCACTCACAGTGTGCCACTCTCAGAGCTCATCGGCGACTAGGTACTAGTCCTCAAGGGCTAGTCTGCTTCCCCAGTCCAATTTCCACTCGGAAATATCTGCACACGCCAGCAGGAGGATTGGGAGGATAGAGGAAAAGGTCAAGAGTTTAGCAGAACGGATAGTCGGGGGACCAAGGCCTTATATACCAGACCTCTAGCCCATCCAGCCCATCGTTCTATCGTTCCATTAATTAGTAACGTGGGGGGCATTCCCTCCGAAGGTCGATACGATTATGCAACCACTTGCTCAAGTTCGGTGAGAGACTGGAGTCTGGAAATCTGGATGGGAAGGATCATGGATCAGGGGTAAGCCAAATGCTGGTACGGAAACGGCCTGGCAATATTCGATACCCGCTGCAACATCATACCTACCTACATGGAAATGCACACCCTACCTGCCTAGCTGCTCATGTAGGCGCGTTGGAGTCGTCTAGCACTCCAATACATACACACCTGGTACGTGTGACAGAATACTCAAAAAGTAACAACTATGCGAATTGTGCAGAGCGACTGGGTTACCTAGCAAGGCCTGCACGGCCCTTGATTGGACCCCAGCAAAATTTCCGCATCTGTTAGCGATTCGGTCGGAAGAGCTATTCCTGGGATTTTGGTGTCTGCTTTTTTTCTAGTGTATTTGGGACCTTTTAGTCTAAAACATGTATAATTGTCTTGAGTTAGACTATACACCAAACCCCAAATTTACTATGGAGTTGCGATTTCTCAACTCTACATAGCTTGGAGATAATTGGCTAGCCCCCAATAATAAATGTCTAAAATCGGTGCTTCAGCCCAGAACAAATTCCGTCATGGGCTGCATGCTGTCACATGATTTCAGGACCCAGCGCCTTGGGTGCGACACAATCTTCCGCAAGCCGTAAGACTTCCAGTTCGGTACAGACCGGGGTATCTATAGGTCAATGGGGTGGCCCTGTGGTGGCCCGGTCCCGGGGTGTAGCCAATGAGAGTTGACGGCCGCAATGCGCACTCTCAGAGGTACTCGCAGATGCGGACTTGGGGTCGTCAAGGCCTCGACATGAGACGATGTCTTAGCAGGAATTCATGACAGTTCATCACTTGTGCCCCTTTGGTCCTCAACATCACTTATCGTCGTTTTCCCCCACTTCAGGTACCGAAGCGACCCGCTGGCGTGTGCTGATTTGTCTCGTGCACGGTCTGACAAAGAGACGTACCTACATATACAGGCGACTTACACGAGCCACGCAACTGCCAACATGAGCAACAGTGACCTATCCCAGATCACCTCGGAGATCCCTGACTTTATTGGCGGGCTCCCCAAGAGGAGACAACCCAAGGTTCCTGCCCCACCGGATGAATTCGACCAGTACTTTGATTATAAACGTTTCTACGAAGGATCCCCAGCCGCCGATGCCGACTCGCGGAGCCGCTCTGACGCCTCTTCTATCCCGGGGCTAACCTCCGGTCCCTCGGAGGAAGACGGCGCATCCTCCCCCAGGTCCACTGAGGACTCTTTCCACTTCAAGGAAGCCGTGGAGCAGATCAAGCAACACGATGATCGCTTCACTGTACCAGCTCGTGAGATCAGACCTAACGGCGTGGAGCATTACCCATGGCATATGGATATAGACGGTACGCTAGGTTCGAGTGGAGCCGAAATCCAGGGACTCGGTGGTAGTAGTAGCCCGCTCTCCCCAGCCTCTTCCAACGGAACTGCGCCGTCCTCATATCACAGCTCTTCAAGCGAATTGCCACTTAGCCGTGGCAAGCGGCATCGCCCCCTAGATAACCCAGATAAGGTCGCCCAGATGCGCAAAATTGGCGCCTGTTTCCGGTGTAAGACGCGCAAGGTCCCAGTGAGTAGCCACGGTCGTATCTCGGCTTCCTTCCTAATCAACTAGAAGTGTGACCAACAGATCCCTTGCTCGCGTTGCAAAAGTGACGCCAATAAGTACTGCAACGATGATGACGGCGAACTAGCAGAGCACATGTGTTTCCGCCGTCTCTCCGCTAGCAGCGATCTCGTCTTTCATGTGATCTGGAGTATGTTAATCCCATCATCACTGTCACCTAAGCTTAGGTTCGAATGGAATTTTGAATAGCTGACCCTAGCAGAGATGAAAGTAAACCCCCCTGTCACGTCGCAGAGAGGTAACCCGACATTGCGTTGGGACGTATACTTCAAGCCGTGTCTTGCGACCCAACAACCCCTAGCAATTTCGGTCACGCGCAACGATAGCAACCACAATAATAGTCAAACATGGCAGAGGTGGCAAGCCAACCCAGGACAGGCAGCTCCTCAATACGTTTTGAACCCTCATGGCGCGCCCGAAGACGCTATACTTATTAAATGGGCTTCGTGGCAAATGCTCACAGACGAAAGCTCTGACTTCCAATCGGCTCTAGACGTTCTAGTTAGCAGATATGCCCAGGATGAACACTCATTTCTACCATATGTTAGTCTAGTGTTACTAACCCCCTCACGTTGTATACCTACTAACATATCGCCAGTACGCTCTTGTTCGCAAAGTTTATGACATGAGGTGCATGTATAAAATCTGGCGGCAAAAGAAGTTTTTCTGCCAAAAATATCCCGGATCCGGTCTAGAGGAGCTTCCTAGTCAGATCTGTCAAGACTTGAAGCGGATCATAGTTTTCAGGATGAAGACGCTCGAGTCTGATATCCTGGCGCAGTTCTGGAAGACCTTGGACGCAGCCTTGAAACCGCATGAGCGATTACCCCTATGGGCTTGTATGATGGAATTTATTCTAATGTACCGGGATATATATGAGCTCAATCAATCGGAAGGTAATATGACCACCCCAATTTAGAACACAAGGACCTAGCTCACATTGTTCAATAGACCTTTGCGGGGATCAACTGCAGATCCAAACCATAACCACGAGCGTCTTCAGCAACTTAGTCGTAATGTGTGAGATCTGTTTCGGCAAAAAGAAGCCGGAACCTATGACTGAAGACGGAAGCCCGATGCTGAGCGCAGCGAAGAGGCAATTGAATGCCGATTTCAGGAGGGTGGAAATCCGCAGAGACGAGTTCTGTATGTTGCAACGGAGGTTCTCGGAAATTGAAGTGTTTAATGGACTGACCATTTACTTTAGACCAAACCATTCAAGACTGTACTACTTATCCACACTCTTCCACGCTGGACCGTCTGTTCTGTGTCCTGTTGATCGGCGCACAAAGAGGCGGTACAAGAGCTGGAGCCCGAGCGTCTAAGCGAGCCAGGCGATAGATGTGCCGTCGTAGCACGAGGATTCTGGGTAATTTTGTTTCTTGTTATGTCGTTTAAACTTGGTTCGGTTCGGGATTGGTAAACAGAGTTTCGGTATGAGTTCATTTTTTGGCCTGTTGGGTGATCGATGGTTTAGCGAAGGAGTTTAGCGACAGGCTGATACCCATCTACCGCATTTGAGCTTGCATTATGCCTCGTGATGAAAGAAGGAGGAAATATTTCAAAAGGCATATTACTTGTTCGACGACACTCGCTGCCGGTATCAGCGTCGCGGGGGCTATGACTGACATTCCCTAGTAAAAACTGCGAGGGTCGTCGTTTCGGTTGTGTTTGCATAAGTATCATGTTCTCGCCATATTTGAAACGTGGTGTACGATACTCTTAGACAGCTATAATAGTAGCTTGTAGTTAGAGCGAGTACACTTGCTGTGCCCAAAGCATTGGGGTTATAATTTAAGACGAAATGACTAAAGTTCAAGCTCCTCTCTGGACACTGAGCTCGACCTTCCTCTCGGTCGTGTCTGCGACATCTTGATACTTCCCAACGCCCTTGAAAATGCTGACCAGTTCTTCCGTATCCAAGGCCTGGAAAATTGTTGGAGACAATGAAACTATTAGTTGGACCTTGATTTTCTTTTTTGTGATTTTCACTGTCGAGCTAAATCTATACGCTTGTTAATATGCAAATAATTCATCATTACAAGTTACTTACTTGACGACCCTTTTCAGTCTATCCGTAGAATCTGGGCTCGCTGGACAAAGCACGGCAAGCAGGTTGGCAACTGCACCGAGATATTCCACCCAAAAGTTGGCCTCGGGGGTTGACTGGCTGACAAGTCTTTGTAGATTAACTTGAAGTAGTTTATCAAAGGGGCCAAGGCTGGCTCCCCATCTATAACAAAGGGTTAACCCCAAGACTGCTCGCGCTAAATGACTAAAACCAGGTGCACTAGGGTCACGGTTAATAGCTTGGTGCAATTCAAATGCTGCGTTGGCGCCACTTGGTTCTCCCATGCGCGTCCAAATATTGCTGGCAAAGAGTGGACCAAGTCCTAAAGTAAACACTGTCGGGATGTTGGAGAGATCGAGATTGCTCGGTAGAGATGATTGCACAGTATCGATCACTGATTGCAAAATCTCAAGCTTCTTGCAACTAACTTGATGGAGAAGTGGCAAGGGGCTTTTCTCTCTCACGGCTTTGGGGAGCTTCATAAATAGAGCACCCTCTCGATTGCCACCACTGCAAAATGTTACCATGTGGATTCGAGGAATGGCACAGATCAGTGCCTCTACGACTGTAGCGATAGCTGGAAATTGCTGGCGTCGTCGTTTTGACATGCCGTAGATCTTGCCCTCGTATTCGGCATTTACCTTGCGCATGTGTTCGGTCTGGCCAAAGAACGAGCCTTCAACAGTGTATGCCCCAACCGCAGGGATTGGATATGGCTGAATAGGATCAACATGCATTAGGAGGCTGCCATAACCCCTAAATCCACCGCCGCACAGGAAGACGTCGACACCGCTACTATCTTGGTTGATCTGTGTCTCCCTCAATGGCGAAAACTGCTGTTGGAGCTGGGCGAAGGCACCTCGCATGCCCTCTTGCAAACTGTTCACAGCAGCGACTTGAACCTCTGTCTCATCGTCCTCCAGGATTTTGATCAGCTTAGCAGCTCCAAATGGTAGGCTCTTTCCGGTTTGCGCAGCTGCAATTTCGTAGCCATCGACAGAAGAATTCAAATAAGTCATCTGCACTGAACCACCCCCTAAATCAAGAAACAGGCCGTTCACTGTGTCGAACCCGCTTCTCGCCCCCACGGAGCCAAACAGAGTCTCGACTTCTGGCGCTAGCACATGAATGCTAAGTCCCGAACTCTCCAAGACAGCATCTAGCATAGCAGCTGTATTCTGAGCCTTCCGCATAGCTTCCGTAGCGAATACAGAGATATGCTCTGTCGGTACGCCATAGTCATCGGCGATAGACTTGAATCGAGCTAGGGTCTTAGACACCTGTGTAATAACATCTGAAGAAAACGCCAAAGGACCACTTGAAGCCGATGTATAGAGAGCATCAAATAAAGATATAGCAGCGCGCTCGTGATATAGACATCTGAGAAGACGACTTTGCGGAGGCGATAGATCCGAGATAGAGAATCGTATGCCATTGCTATCACAAGGTTACTAAGAAGCAAATAGAAGAGACATCACTAGTTCGAATAGATAGATGCGAGGTGTCTTGGGCTAGGTTTTGGGAAGGACTGTAATCTCAAAATAGACAGGGTGACGATGTGATGATGTGACAAACCTTCCCATATCAACTAGGGCATAAAGGTGGTTGGAGAGGTTGGGGTCCCATCGTGGCATCTTAGATGCAAAGTTTTCAAGTGTGATAATATCAGTAGTGGACGTCATATTGAATGTAACTTCATGAGATAATATCCGAAGAGGAGACGTTGGGCCAGGGCCAATTATGGGAGTTGTTGAATGGAGGTAGTGTTGGCGTAAAGCAAACTGAGGCTCCACATTGCTTTTTAATCCACATCACTCGGAGCACAGATATTGTCAGCTGTCAGACAAATTAGCGCCGTTTACGGATTAGAAGCACGTGAGATACGACGCTTATATAATCTACCAAAGTGGATATTAAATACCTGCACTCCAACTTCGGAATAGATATGTACATATGATTAATTGCTCTTAGACGTTTCGTATTAGGTATGCACTATATCTCTTACTTAATTAATTAGCTAGTTATTTGGTAATAGTTTGCGACGACAACACTATATCCTACGAAGTTTCTAACGTTCTATTGACGCGAACTATAACTTAAGGCATGATCAAGTTCTGATGATGCATATGTCAATCAACATACTTTGTAAGGAGAAGTTAATAGCAATATTTATTCCTTTTTGTAGTGTATAGTACATGACAATTATTAACCGAAGCATTAGGTCTTTTGCTATGCCCTAAGAAGCTTCGTTGTGGGATTTATGAAATAATACTTTTAGATAAGTTGGTGGAAGAAGAAACCTTAGTAATCTAATAATTTAATAAGATCTTGTGATAATGTTCTCTGACAGCAAGATCGTCACCGGGAATTGAGCACACGACCGCTAGACCGTGAGGCGTTATGCCGTACAACATCAGCCTATAAATGATCTCCGAATATAGGACGTCCTTAGAGATTTACGGAAGTGCACATGCAAGCCAAACCATATTGATCCTCGGGGCTGTTCGGAATAGGACCGAGCCCTCGTGGTATCATGTAGGTACTGTAGTAGTATAATGGGTTGGGCTTCTGCTTAGAGGGGATGCATAAGGAACGTATACAGTAAGACCATTCAATGGCGTCAATCTTCACGTAATGGGGATTTACCCTATCTCTCAGCCAATCATTATTGCGTGGGTAGTTTTTATGTTCACTTTACCTCATATATGTAAGTGCATCATGATAGAAAGTTGTCAGACAAGGTCCTTAAAAATCCACGAACCAAATAACCCAATGAGCGTGGAGATGCTCGTATAGAATATATTCTTAACACTTATTAGGGACCGAATCCAACCTCCCAGACCATGTGGAATGTACGTGGGGTAAAAGTAATGAAACCTCTCATGCTTCCTATGGAGTACAGGCATACTTACGCGTCGATTCGCGTTAGTTTCGCGTCGTTTTCTCTCAACGGAATATTCCGATTCGTCAGTCAAGCAGCCCGCTAGTAAATGGGGGTTGAAAGTAAGGCTACAATTTCAATTTTCTTTATGAGATGATATAATGGTTAACTCAAGTTGTGAATAGTATGATGAAAGTATTATTTAAGTATTTTAGGATATAAGTAAGAATTGTCTTGACCAACTCTATACATTTCTGACTTCTTAGGTGGGAGAACCTTTAATTCTGTAC